CCCCTCTGGGTCTGCCCCCCAGCCGTTAGCAGCCTCCTGCCCACCCGGCTACTGGCCCTCGGTGCGCTGCACCGTCGGCTGCCCCAACCGCCCGTCAGCTACCCACCCTCCGTCAAGTACCCACGGGTTAGAGGTTAGAGGTTTCCGCCGGCGAGGTTCCGCCCGTCAGATACTGACTGTCTATCCCCCTCTGGTCGGGTCCGCCCCTCCGCCCGTCAGCAACCTCCGCCCGTCAGCTACCCACCCTCCGCGCGTCAGCAACCTCCGCCGCAGCTACCCGCCCAACCTTTATTCTGTCAGCTACCCACCCTCCGCCCGTCAGCAACCTCCGCCCGTCAGCTACCCACCTTCCGCGCGTCAGCTACCTCCGACCGTCAGCAACCTCCGCCCGTCAGATACACGTACTATATGTCTATCTCCGTCAAAGTACCCACGGGTTAGAGGTTAGAGGTTTCCGCCGGCGAGGTTCCGCCTGTCAGATACTAACTATCTCCCCCTCTGGTCGGGTCGTCGGGTCCGCCAGTACCCACGGGTTCTGTCTATCTCGGTGAGAGGTCAGAGGTTTCCGCTGGCAGGTTCCTCAGATACTGACTACCTATCTGACTACCCCCCCCCCCCCTCTGGGTCTGCCCCTCCGGCCGTCAGCAGCCTCCGCCCGTCAGCTACCCACCCGCCGCGCGTCAGCAACCTCCCCACACCAGCTACCCGCCCAACCTCCGCCCGTCGCCCGTCGGCTACCGGCCCTCCGTGCGCTGCACCGTCGGCTGCCCCAACCGCCCGTCAGCTATCCCCCGTCAGCTACCCACCCTCCGCTGTCAGCAACCTCCGCCCGTCAGCTACCCACCCTCCGCGCGTCAGCTACCTCCGGCCGTCAGCAACCTCTGCCCGTCAGATACTATCTATATATCTCCGTCAAGTACCCACGGGTTAGAGGTTAGAGGTTTCCGCCGGCGAGGTTCCGCCCGTCAGATACTAACTATCTATCTAACTCCCCCCCCCCCCCTCTGGTCGGGTCGTCGGGTCCGCCCCTCCGCCCGTCAGCAACCTCCGCCCGTCAGCAACCCCACCGGGGAGATATATAGGGGTTACCCGGTGTACGCTCTGTAATGCTCTGTGGTTGCCATCGCACAGACAGTGACAGGGTTTCAGCCGGCAGTTAACTCATGGTGAGATGGTGTAGGGCATGGCTTTGATGCAATGAAAGGTGCACCGACGAATTTGATATTAACATGTAAAATCGCAAACCTGCCCGCGAACCTCTGCCGTAGCCTGGCCGCTTCAAAGAGACTCAGACTCTTCAAACTTCGTCAGCCGCGCAGGAAATCGAGGTCATGATCGAACATGCAGACCGTGATGGCAAAGGATTTGTGACTGCAGAGGAGCAGGGGCTGAAAACAGCTGAAGCCTGCATAAGCCTGCAAGCCTGTCCAGGGCCTGAACCCAGCTGTCCTGGGTCCGTTGCATGTTCTGCAGATACCTGCAGGACTTTTATGTGTTGATGGCTGATGAAGCGCGACGGGTGCGTCGACCCGCAGCATCCCGCAGCAGTGGTCTTCAGCTGTAAGCAGTGTAAGGAGATGTTCGGGGTTGCTAGCTGGCACAGCTGGTGGCTCTCCGTCGCCTCATGGCCAGAATCTGCTGTACCATGCTGCGCCTGCCATTCAGTTGCTGCGCATCCAACATCAAACTCACATCATGGCATGCAGTGTCAAGTACTCTCGTGCTGGAGATCAGAACTAGAACCATTCATCACACTGAAACCAACAGCAATCAGTCGTCAGCCCATCAAGCAATGCATGATGAACACGTCCAGAGCGAGATGTGAATCAAGACAGTCCAAACGAATGTGGCAGCGCCTGGCATCTACCTCGCGTGTGCTCCGCGGCTTGACTGTCCAATTGATTTGCTGCTAATTGCTGCAATACATGCACCAGTTTTCACCTGTCTCATGTGCCCCTGCATATGCATGGGTAAACATCATGTCACGTTGTGGCTTGGGTTGCGAGCAGGCTATGGCACTGGGGCAGGATGTGGTGCTGCAGCGGCATGCAGCTCGACTCCCATGTGCAGCAGCTGAAGTTGTACTGCTTCAATTTGGATGCTAGACGTCTGTCATGTGGACAGCTTGTTGGTCAAGCGGTTGAGTCCCAAACTTCTCTGTTTCAGTAAATCCACTCCAAGGGATCCTGACCATGCCAAGAGATTTGATTCTGGGGCCGAGGCTTCAAAGCTTTCACTGAAGTTGGGATCTTTGTCATGACGTCTGTCTTCGATCATGTAGGCTTGCATGGTTCCCGTGTGTGTTTGTACACGTCCCGAGGAGCCAACCCGCTTCGGCGCATTTCGAGCAGGATACATAACTTGATACATGATGTTGCATGAAGAGTATAATGTGAGTGTACATGTATAATGTACTTATACACTTATAGATGTAATTGGATATGGATACAGATAGATAGAGTAGCTTCATGGAGAGATGGATAGGTATACATGCACATCCATTCTGTCTGTGCACCTCTCGTCTGTCCTTGGTGTCTTGCACTGTTTTCTGTAAGCCGTGGGACTTGGTTGTTATGACCGGATAACTGAAGCACTCCAGCCTGTCGTGCCAGCAGAATCTTCTGGCACCAGAAGTCACTAAACGAGGTGCAAAATCAAGCCCTTAAGCATCCTTCAGCCTTCAGGCAGACTTGGCAGCTACTCATTCCCACACCCTCCCCTGTTCACCTGTCTTCGGCTTGAATGGGCATCAGGCATTGCGCTCTATCACATGGACTCCAGCTTCCAACGCTCGGTTCGCTTCTGGCAACTGACGGGACCCATCGTCGAGATCTTAGGCAAGTTTCCACGGCAAGTGATTGATATTTTTTGCTGCTTTCTCTCTCTACGGCTTTGAGCTTCGGTTTGTTTCAGGTTGCCCACTACTCTCTGGAGCGCTGGCGTGCCCTGGACGATTCTGACCGCGATGTGCGGTACCAGCGGCTTCACCGACTCTACGCATCAAGAGCCCGGGAGGTGGTGGAGGTGGGGTAGCTGACAATCCAATCACCATCCCTGTGATGAGCCATGTACCCCCGCCCCAACAGGACGATGTTTTTGTCCAAAGTCAAGACATGAAAGCTCCAATGAAGCGCTGTGTCAAGTCTCACGCAGCTTAGAATCCGGGATGCCATGCCCAAACGGCAGCTGCGTTCAAAAGCCAACCCCTCGGCCACCAGCCAAAACGATACAACAAGATATGTTGTACAACGACTGGCTGACAGGTAGAACCATACCAGAGAAAGGCGAACGAAGCCTCTCAGGATGCCTGCTGGCATCGGTGCACATCCTGTTTTGTCGAGAGTCCTTTCGAACCGCAGCAAGACAAAGAGCCATGAGTGAGAGCTTCTAGAAGACTGTCCGCGGCGATGCCCGCAGGTACGGTAGGTCGAGTGGCTGGGTGGGTGGGTGAGATGCATGAGGTCACGAAATGTCACGGCATGGTCATTGGTTTCCTGGAACCTCAACCGAGAGACCTAGAAGCAGCTGCGCCCGACTTCTCCAGTGCTTGTGCAGATCTCCCAGCCGCCTGGCCTCAAGCCACAGTCCTTCGCCTGCAGGAACTCCGGGGCATGTTCGTGAAGGTTTGGTCGACTTGTATTCGGCATTGCTTGGGATTGCAAGTTGCTGCAAGCTGCTGCAAGCCGGAGCCATGCGAAGGTGGCCCAGGTGCTCAGCGTGCGCCCCGAGGCGCTCCGAGGGTGCATCGAGCGGATAGTGCCAATCAGTCAGACTGCTGCGCAAGCCAGCAAGCTGCATTGTGCAGGCTGTTCCCGAAGAGTACCGACTTGAGTTTCGAAAGCGCCTTGCCTCAGATTTGCGTGCTTCTGTCCCAGCGCTCCGAGCGACCTAGTCACACCTTAGAGGGGCGCTTTATCAATATTATGTGTCGTTAGCATCGATTCCGCCTGATGACAAATCAAAGCGGGATCAAAAATGGCAATGCAGGTCACCCGAGTCGCTTGAGTGTTTCTTGAGATTTAGCGTTTCGTCCGCCCCATCTCTCCGCCTGCACGGGTACGTGGGATGGGACATGAAGCACTTTTCGTCGTCTGCTGCAATGCTTGAATCAAGTTAAGATAAGGTTTTGCATTCACCAACTATGTCGCAGTCAGGCTTTTCTATACGGCCGACATGCTTTTCGCGAAAGTTGCAAGGGTCTTGAGGTTTGCCTGCCTTGCCTGAGGCTCCAGGACATGGCTCCGCCCGCCCGCTGGGAGCCCATCCGCCCGATGCCCAGAGAAGATCGGATGTTTGGAGGGAGGGGTCATGGGGACAATGCTCTTGTGTTACGTCGCGCGCATGTCGCATGGCCTACTCAGTCCTTCAAGTCCTGCTAGAAGTTCTACCAAAACTGAAGCCAGCAGCAAATCGCAGCTCGCAGAACTGAACGTTCAAGAGGCGAAAGGCACTTGTGAATGGCAGGTGCAGCGTCAGTTTTCATAAATTCTTGCCAACTCCATGCCGATAAGGTGCTGTGTTAGAGCGAGACTTGGGCGCCTCAGTCGCAGAGGCTTTGCAAGCATTGATATGCAGCCAGCCACGCTAAACGAATACAGCTGGTGTTTGGTTGTGCAAGGTATTGAACTTTCGCAGCCGCCGGGCTCATACCTGGTTTTTCCATGCTGAAGGTGTCCGAAAACAATTGTGTATCCTGTTGGACGAGCCCTGCTATGAAAGCCGAGCGACATCGAGATGAAGCCATGCCACGTCTTGCCAATCATAGGAGATTTCTTGCATCTGCAAATGCGCCGCCATGATGGAGTGTTGAGCTGCTCCGGAACGCTGTCTTTGGACGCAGCTGGTCCGCAGTCGAGCTTGCAGCCAACTGAGCCCCCGAAATTCATCAGCCACCTCGCAGCAAAATATCTGTATTCTTCCTTCCTGTTGGCGATCTGCGTCTATCTGACATACAGACCCGACCCACATATCATCATCTCTATATGTGGCAGGTGTATCGAATGGGTGAGCCATTTTCCTTTGACTGGAAGGGCAGCTTGACGCCAGAGCGGAAAGGCCTTGTCTGTCAGTTGGTGCCGAGAGCTGCAGACCCCATTCCTCGGGAATAGCACCTAAATTCTTTAAGTTCATGAGCGCCAGGCGGCCCAGACAGTTCGTGGCGTTTGGATTGGAAAGCGAGCTTGATTCCTGTGCAACCACTTGAGGACAGGGTATGGACATCGTGCGATCTTGCCGAATCTTGCCCATTCCCTGCATGCATGGGTTGCAGCTCGGCATCGGCAGGTCAAAAACACTTTCGTGCACGTTCCAGAGGAGGACGAGTTGCTTGGCGTTGTCAGAGACACCACGCACAGACTTGCAAGTTTCACAGTTCCACAAGTACGAAATTCTTGACAGAGTACGCTTTGAGCTCACGAGGTTTGCATCATCTGCCTCCCGAAGCCGCAGAACAGCTTCGTCTCCACCTGATCTGAGGAGTGTTGTGGGTAGGGTATGTGTCAAATGTTGTGAAGCTGCAGCATCCATTGCATTGCAAACGCGCCGGCACTTGCAGGACGCCAGTGCAGATTGAAGGAGATGGAAAGGTGCGAAGCGAAGGGGGTCCAGTAGTGTTGCAGAGCGTTGCAGCTGTGTGCCTGAGGAGGAGGACGAAACGGGAGCCTCGCAGAAGCCTCAGACGCAAAGCGGGGGGAAGACGGGTGAGCTGGCTGCGAACCGCGGGCGACGTGCTGCGGAGCGGGCAGAGCAGCCTTGCTTTCTTGCTTGCGGCTGTCCCTGGAGGTGCTCCACGGAAGCTCCGACCCTCCAGGAGGCCGCGGCCACGGGGCCCGCCGCATCCGCCGACTCCAACCAGGCGCACACCAAGTGCCCAAGGCAACTCCAGTGGTGCCCCGGTGCCCGCCGGTGCCCCGGCCTCCGAAGGCCTCAGCTCATGATGTCGGCAGTTGTCGACCATGTGCGTACTTCCGCATCAAGGCGGCATCGTGCGGCTGCAGCGAAAGACCTGTGACAAGACATGCTGTGCTTGAAGGCAGACGGTTGCCAGAAAGGCGACGCCTGCGAATTCTGCCACCTTTGCACGCTGGACACGCGCGAAGCTTTCACATCGGTTATTCAGTCTTGCAAAGCCAGCACTCGCAGGAAGATGTGCGAGCAAAGCAGACACTGTACAAGCGGCAGGCCATGAGAAGGGCAGCTCTGGCTTTGAGCACTGCCTGCTTGTGGATTTCGGATTCGGTCAGGCTCGGGCGCAGAAGCGAGCTACTGCAAGTAAAGCTAGAGCGCCCCCGAGCACTTGAAGGAGCAGTTGCGGCCAGAACTTCTGTTTTACGATCGGAGCTGTTCGCGGCTGGCAGGACCGCATCTTCCACTGACTGCCAATGACAAACGGGGCCGATGCACCCTCTTGTCGAGTTTCAATGGGTCGAGTTTGACCAGTCTCTGACCTTTCTGATAGCAGCTCATCACATTCACAAAGTCGAAGCTTGCAAGGAAGATTTCAAGGGCAGCATGTCGATGCACGTCCGTATGTTATGTATGTTCTCCAGTTAATGGTGCCATTGAAAATTTTCCCCTGCAGCAGCACCGGTTCGAGTTTCGTCCATGTGTTCCTGCACGTCTCTGACTCTGTCCTTGAACGCCGCTATTCCGCGGCGAGGGGTTGTGCAACTCTCAAAGCAAGGTTGCGAGTTCTCTTTCCTGCAGCTCCTTTCAAGTCCATGCCTCTGTAGCCGTTTACAAGGTCCTGTGGAACTGGTTCTCGATTTCGGCCGAAGCACATTTCCAACCTTCGATTGAATTCATTGACTCAGTTGGTCGTCGCGATGTATTTCCAGTCCCAGGAGCCTTGTCTGATTTTGCTCTGCAGAAGGGCATCACAGACAGTAGTCGTGCGTGGCGTGTCCTCGTGCTCAGTTGCTACTCTTCGTGCAGTCGAATGAGTAGAAATCAGACTACACGACAACCACGGCTGTAATTGCGCAGCCGGATCCAGAACATGTTCAAGAGTTCGCGGACAAGCCCGGAATCATGTCACCAGGCTGTAATCAGCCGCATAGAATGTTGTAATACCCTCGATCTTTATTGGTTTCAACGGAGCCGTGGCATGCATATATCCTGTGCCAGTGGCGAGCTGTCTTTGTGGCGGAGTAGCACTGTGCATCGGTCTCCAAGTGTTCAGTGCTTCTCACGTTTCCGGGCACCGGCGTCCGAATGCCAAGCCATGTGACAGCTATTGGCATTCTGATGTGCAGTGTCGTCAACAGTTCACCAATCTGGTTGATCGACCGCGGCATTTTCACCACACTGGCAGAAAATGTGACTGTCCAGGTGTTGGGACCTTGGCTTTAACTTTCAGTACTTGGGGGGCTGGGTATCTTCAGAGGATGCCTATACCCGACCCACGACACAGAAGGTCTTCATGCCCCGATGTTTTTGAAGCAGACTTCTGGTGGAGGTCTTCGAGGCGATCGACTGCGAGCCGCTCGGTGCCGCGAGCATCGGCCAGGCCGTGGCTGTAGCCGCGTTTCACGTCTCGAAGTCCTGGCGGGGACGGCAGAGGCGCACCGTGTGACGTGGCGCGGCAGGCGCAGAGCACATGCAGAGCACATGCACGTCTCAAACTCTTTGCGCCGAGGCCAGCCGTTGTCAAGGTCCAGCGCCTTGGCGATTGATGCTTTGATTCTCAGTCTGGGCATCAGTGGTATCACATTGCGAGTGTGAGCTGGGGTGCCGGCTGCGATCCCTGACCACGAGGTGTCAAGTCTCAGTCCAGTTGCATCGGACTGCTGCCAGGTATCCGGATGCCGCGAGCATGCTTTGGGCCGACTTCCGGTGCTTCTTGGAAGCATGAGAGAAAGTGCTTACTGGTAGCTGGTAGCCACTGGCCAAGCAGAGCCGAAGAGGCCTCGAGCTGCTGCTGCGACTCGCCGAGCCCTCGGTTGGAGTCGACAACCCTGCTCCCCACGTTTTGATTTTCAGTACTTCTTCACATGCACCCGCTTACGCGCCCCCCCGCTCCCCGCTATCCCATCACTTCCCGATGATGTCGGAAGTTGTGTCAAGAACTGCCCCTGCTCGAAGGTGAACACGGAGGCCTTGGTCATCCTGCGTCAGGCAGAGCTTCTGCCAATGCGGCCTTCATCCAGTGGGGTTTAGGGTGTCAGGTGAAAGAGCAGTTCTCCGTTGAGCTCGACTACACCTCGGAGGTCTGGAGCCGAGCGCAAGCGGCGCAAGTGAAAGATCGAATCTCGAATCGGGCCAGGCCAACCATTTGCAAGAGGTCTACTCTGCGTTCCAAGCCTCCTCGGCGAGCTTACACAAAGCGTTTATAACATATGGCCCTGCAGAATCTGCGAATCAACGATGTCCACTCGAGCATCGGATTCCTTGGACAGGTGGCTCCTGAATTCAAGGACAAGGTGGCTGTGTGCATTTCTTAGCCACGGGGAGGTGCTGACACCTCGCTCTGCATGTCGCACATCGGCCAAGCGATTTCGAGAGTCGTGCATCGCGTGGGACCTTTGGGAAGAGACGGCCCGGGGTAGGAACAAGAAGCGTAGCAAAGCGAAGCCCGGTCGTTGACGGCGAGGCCCGAACCTATTCCGCAGCTCACAAGCGGCAGCGTCATAGGCGGTTCTCTTGCTGTTTCCTATTGATGCCTCAAGTGATTGGACAGCAGTGCCGAACAGGAATGGGGTATTTGGAGGGGCCGAAGCTCGAAACAGCACTTCGCGCTCGGCTGCAGGCAAGTATTGTGCAGTCTCTTGTGGTGCCAGCTGCTTGGCCTGCTAGGCCTGCTAGGCTAGGTTGCCTGCCTCGAGGCCTTGGGCATGGACGTCGGACAGCAGGGAGTAGGTGCGAGCTGGGCAGAACAAAAGCGGGGAGGGGCGCAGTGGTTGCAGCTCTTTTGTGAGCCGCAACGAACTCCTCACCTAAGCAGAAGTCAAACCAAGAGCAACGCAAACTGCATGCAAACAAGCACGCAGACGAAATGCTACCCTGCACGAAACTGGCAGTGTGCAGTATGAGCAAAGGCTTGGAGTGGAGCGGGGCCGGCCCAATGTGTCAAGCAGCTGTCACACCGAGCAGGTGAATGGATTGCTGCGCAGCAGCGAAATGGTATCACTCAGAATTTCGGCCGGCTTCCGAGCCAACAAGCGTCACCATGATACTGAGTGGATACTACAGTGATTCCGCATGTCGCAAGTCGCTGACATGCATAGACATGCATATGTGGCTCCAAGCCAAGGATGGATCACACATCATTCGATATCATACGAAGAGTATTGTAACGTGGCCAACATGTTTTTGACGATGTAGTCACACCTCCAGTCGCAACGAAGAATGTTTCGGAACCAAGTTTTCCCGCGAAGCTGTTACGCGCTTGCTGCGCCATGGCGACATCCTTCATTGACGAGGTCACGAAGCTATGGCGAGTGCGAAAAACAGCCCCTCGTCTTAGCTGGACACTTCATGACATGAACGACGCTGCATTCCTTAATGTTTAAGTGGGCGTGCGCTATCAGGAAAACCAGCTCTTGCTCTAATACTTGACAGACTTAAATGGAAGTCTTGAACAAAAGTTATACTCGGCACCTACTAGTTACTAGTAGGACTTAGTTTGGAGTAGGATTCCTCCAAGTGCCTGCGGACCTTGAAAGTCCGACCTCGATTTCGGCAGCACTTGACAGCAGCCCCTGAGGGTCTGAGATCTCAGCTGCAGGATCTCTCACCTTCACTTGTAAGAACGGGGAAGATTGGCGGCTTTCTCTGAAGTTCGATAGCCGACAGCGGCGTTTGGCTTGCCGGAACCCAGGTCTTCCAGATGCCCGGTCCTGATTCTGAAGATGAATGTGCAAGTTTAATGATGGGGCGGTCCAAAAGCCTAAAGCCAAGGCTTCACGATCGGGGCTATTACGTGTCCGAAAAGCGCATGCCTTAGCCAGTTGTTGCATCTATAATTAGAGGCCTGGTCCGTCTTGCATCCTCCGACTCCCAGGAGCCTGGACGAAAAGAAGGAAGAGTTCGAAAAGGTGTGGAAGGAGCGAGTGGTCTCGAAGTGAGCTACGGCGTGGGGTACCACGCTGGTGCACACAGCTGAAGGTTTCGTGATGTGGCAGTGACCATGTCGTGAGACTTGCCCTCAGGAGGCGCAGGATCAAGGTGCTGGTCGCGAAAGGCACACCTCCTTGCACGCAGCCTGCGTTTACAGCTGGAGAGTCCTGCACAACTTGCCTTTGACGAAGGTTCCTTATCCTTGTGAACCACACAAACCAAACCGATAAGCAGCTCATAGTCTTCTTTCCCGTCCGGGCACCTAAATGAATATGTTGTATGCATGGACTAGGTCGACTAGGTGACCAGGTGTCTGTGAGACATGAAGCTTCTGAGGACGAGAGCAAGCGCGTCGGTGTGAAGCCCATCAGGACTTGAAGCTTGTGTGTGCAGGCCCTAACTAAGTGATCACGTGAACAGCCTGCTATTTGTTGGAGGATACTTGCAGAAAAAATGGACGAGAGAAAGATCAGAGAAGCGATTCTCGTGGTCAAGATGCTCGGCAGTAAAAGAGCCAACAGCAGCGCTGAAGCGAACGCTCCAAGAGGCACATCCGTGCATACTGCACCACTTGAGCGCCAAGCCAAGGCAGCCGCTGACGCCGCTTGCGAGGACAGCCATCCAAGAAGCAAGCGTGAAGATGAGGAGAGGGATGGAGAGACGGTGTCGCGAGTGCGTGTCGGGTATATGCAGAGTCGAAAGGGTCAATTTGGTGACCAGAACTGATTTCTACGGTGGGCAGAGCCGGTGGTCACGCAGCAATTGCCTCACAATTGAGCTCCGATTTTCCAGCATTGGCCACATGTCAATGCATGCCGCGTTCAGCCAAGCAGGTGTGCTGCAGCTTTGCCAAAGAAACTGTTGTTGATCCTTTAGCCTGTGCTCCTGTCACGACAGAAAATCACGAGCGAGAGGATTGAAGTCTTCCATGAGAACGAGCTGATTGTGAACATCACGCAGCATGAGCTGGCCCGTCTCCAAGAGCACGTGGTTCTGCACAAAACAACACGGTGGAGGTGATTCAGCTGTCCCGATTTTGCTTCACCAAGAAATGCCATGATGCTACATAGAGGGCGTAGCAGGCTTCAGCACTCTTCGTGCAGAAAAGTGTATCCATGTCGGAGAATCACAGGATACCGAGAATGAGGGACATGGAGAAGCTGAGTCAGTCTAGAGTCTAGACAGGACAAGTCGAGGCAGCTCCGCTGAAGAAGCAGTGGTTCGAATGTTTCATGCTGAATAGGCCAGCAGGGACTTGGAGGTGCTGTCCAACCCCAGAAAGGGCGACAATTGTAGTGCCGCTGATGCTACATTGCTGCTACATGAGGCCTGTAATTGATGGAACTCGGTGCTCTTCGAGTGCTGGAATGCTCGGTGTAGTATGTGGGATGGCGAGACGTTACCGGAGGCGCAAAGACCACTCGACATGCCGCCAAAAACCTCCATCGCGAAGCTCCATCACGAAAGCTCTGTGGAGCTTGCGGGAGTTGTCCTCTACCATTCACCCAAAGAGTATGTGGGCAACCTACGTGGTAGTGTTTGTTTGGTTATATTTGGTTATTAGAATCGGGGAGGACCCGCCGCACAAGCATGTGACTGAACCAGAGGCAACAACGTGGGGGCCCCTCCCCTCCCCTTACTGCAGTGTTGCACAAGGTCAAGGGGGGCAGGCCTGCGCCCCGCCCTCCGGTCCCCCGCTACTCGCCCTTGAGTAAGCAGCATGGCAACTGGCATTTTGTCTTTGATCGGCGGAGTGCGTCTACGTCGCAGGTTTCAAGAGCTAAGCTGCGACCAGGACAGTTCGAAGCCGCTCGTACATGGCTGCATTTTAGCTTGGAGCGCAATGCGGTCGGTCAACGTACTGTGACAAGGGTGTATCTGATTTTGTTTGCGCCAGTGTATTGCAAGAGAGTACTATCATTTTTTAGGTTTCAAGCTTCTTGGCAATACAGTTGTGCTGGCGTCCACGCTGCCGAGCATACATGCAATAACGACCGAGCTCTATAAACTCTGCTTCCTTTGTTCGATCAAGGTTTCGTGTCCTCCTCTCAAGTGGGACTGTCGGTATGTCCTGAATGCGGTCACCAACGGCCGCCACAACAGAGAGCCGAAGCTGCGTTCAATGGTTCAACATGTGAACCTGACCTGGTTGGGCCAAGGCCCGCGCCCCAGACGCGCCCCTCGCCCCCCCACCACACGCCGTCCGGCGCCGAAAGATCACGCGCTGGTGGGTTTGCACTTAAAGTCAACGCACCTGCACGCAGTAATTTGTCAGTCCCACGAACACTTGCACAACTCGAGGGCTGTTGCACGTCAAATGCCGACATCGACGAACCTCTTCTGTGGCAGTTTTCGGCACGACGAGACTATGATGATGACACCGCTGCAGCAGCAGCCGCAGCAGCAGCGACCATTACCGGAACGCCGACCACGACTTGCAACGACAACATTACCAACACAATCCATTATGCTTTCCGGGGTTGCGGAATCAGAGTTCTGTGTTGACGAAATGGCAATAATGGCACCTCCGGCTATCGAAAAAAGGTCTGTGCACCAGATGCACCAGTCAACCTCACATAGTGGTAAGCGAATTCTCCTCTCAACTGCCGTGATTGAGAGCCAGGTCCCGCAGCACGTTGCGCTTTCCGATGAAGAGAAGCAACAGCTTCTGAACAGGCGTGCTTCCATGGAACAAACACGGTTCTTGCATTTGCCCCGTGTGAATGCAATGCCTGTTGTCCTGCGACCCTGCTGGAGGTACAAGATGAAGCCTTCCCAGCTTCCGCGCATTCAGGTCACAGACCCCGTCGCAAGGCCGGTGCAGGTTGCACAGCCGGTGCACGTCGCTTCAGTGACTGCTCTGACCAGGTACTTCGGGATGCAACGAGACCAGGTCGGGAACAGAGACCGACGCATTATTCAGCAGTCGTCAGCTGCAATCAGGTTATGAAGATCATCAGGCTGCGCTGCATCTGGTCACGCCCACATGCAGTACAGGATATTTAGGTTCCTGCTCCGTGAGGCCATCAGAGACGGCCGGGCGATATGTGACATACAGGCGAGCAGCAAGTGTCAACACAGGATGAAACGGGCAATAGCTCTCGACTCAAGCCTGCTGGGACCATCAGTCGCGCCCGATGCTTCGCAGGCTCGTGGTGTGATGCACAAGAAACCGTCGCAGAGGTGGCTGCATGCAAACTCTTTCAGTGACTCTGAGAAGCGCTACCATCTTTCATGCACATGGGCAAAAGACGGGTTCCTCAGTCCTATGCTGATCTCTTCAGGCCTGGCCGTGTCCAGAGTCCGAGCCTGCAGGGCGGATTGCGGTCAAAAAGATTTGAATTGCCGATGCTGTGCTGTCTTGTGGACACGTGCACTGCCGCAATAAACTTGGATTTTGGGGTTCTGATCCCCTGGACCGACTGACTCCCTACGTTTGAGTCTCCTCGCAGCTGTCTGCTCAGGCCGAGAAAGCGGCAAGGATGAGCAGGAATCTTGGCAGCAGCACAGCACAGGGGCACAGGGCATCACAGGGCCAGTTCCCCGACGTCCCAGTCTGAGTCTCTGAGGCGCCTTCAGCAGGTTGGGGCGGTTGGGCCTGGGGCTTTGGAAGATGGGCGGCCGCAGGCTCAGCCGCCAGCTGCCCTTACGGGAGACGTTTCCTTCCTGCCTTTGCTGCCGCTGTGGTGCAGCCGCGAAGGTCAGGCTTTTGGGTTTCGATGCCATCTTCTGGCTGCTTGGCCGTCTCAAATGCCTTGAAGCGGGACTCAGCGAGAGCTTCCCAGGCTGACTCGCAAGATGGCAGATGCCAGGTCGGCCGGACTGGCGCTTGCGTACACCTATGACTTGTGCTTTCAAGTCGAGCGCAGGTCTGCGCGGCCCTCTGAGCTTCACTCTGCGCTTCGGTTGGCCTGGAGCCTGAGCTTGAGCTTGAACGAAGCATGCCGAAGAAATGGCCGGTGATGAGGTGCTGGACGTGCATGGATTCTGCCTCGGATGCTTTGGGGATGAGGCTAGCGCGAGTTGTGCCAGGGATGGCCCAGTCGTGACATGCCGAGGTTTTCAGCTCTTCTTTTGCCCAGTCTTTAACGCCCGCGCGCTCAGATGTGATGGAAGTGTGGGGGAACTTAGCCATGGGCCATGGCACGAAGATGCGAGGCCGATCCTCATCCCGGCAACATCTTGATGATGCACTGGCCCCGGTGGCCCCTGGTCACATGATAAACCAATAACTCAGGACGGCTGAGAATGTGATACCTAGGCCGGATGGTCGCATTGGCCTCATCGACTTTGGACAGTGTCGCAGGCTATCCTCAGAGGAGAAGGCACCGCCGAAGACAGACAGAGTGCTAAAGAAGAGTGTCAGCGATGCAGCACTCTCGGGTACAACGATGCTCTGTCAAATCTATCAAGAGTCTCTCTTCATGAATCTCTTCTGCGCCGGCAACAGGCTGGTCTTGCAAGGCTGCTGCAAGCAGTGACAAAGCCAAGGTCGCCCGAGGCCAGTCGCCGTTGGCCTCTGTGCAGCCTGAAAAGCGATTCGGCAGCCGCACCGTCGCACCGTGGCGCTTCAGAGGCGGACCGAGAGGTGGCAGAGGCCTTCGAACACACCGGGGTTGAACCTCAGTTCGTGATCTGTGGACGTGCTGCATCTCCGGTGTCTGCACGTGTCTGTGCCATCGGCCCGAGGTCAAAAGCCAGCATGGTGACAGGCTGCAGCCACGAAGACTGTTGGCCCGAGGAAGTTCACTGCGCTGTGCTTCTTGTCAGGGAATTCATGGCCCTTCTGTGCGAAGCTGAGACAAGATGATAGAGGAACTTGCACGCAAGCAGTTTTGGTGAAGTGTGATCAAACAAGGCCACGCCTGATGTTTTCCCGCCTGCAAGCAGAATGGCTTCAAGGTGACATCAAGGAGCGAGTGGTTCAGCCAGACTCGAGCATAGGAGGGCGAATCTGTTTAACAGTTCGAGCAAAGTAGCGCAGGGAATTCTGTTCTTCGTTGTCTCTCGCAGCATGGCACTCCCGTGGTCTTGCACCTCGATGCTTTGCCCCTGAGGGGGCTGCTGTGCCACTGGGCTTGTTTCGTCAGTGTTCGTCCATGCTTCGCCGGTCAGGAGGTTCTTCGAAAAGATCGAATAGTGGAGGCAAGGGTGTGAAATGGCGAAGCAGACGGGAAACTAGCCTTGCAGGTGTATTGAATGTATGAAAGCACATCACGGAAGTAGGAGCTTCCTTTTGACTGGAGTCGGAGCTTGTGGCCGTAGCTTGCATCATAGAGTCTGACGGCCACATAGGATACGAGCTCGATCCAGCGACAGCCGTTCGCCGTTGTAGCTTGTTCTTTGCCTGAACCGGGAGTCTTAGGCGGCCCAACGAACAAAGCAAAAGGAGTGCGTTCAAGCGTGACCACAGAGCCAGTGCAACAACCACTGTGTCACGCTGTTTGCTGGCTGGCGAGTGCAGGTAAAGTATGTTATTTGTTATGTACAGGACAACGGACAATGCCAGATGCAGTGTCAAGACTTGAAGCTCGCGAGAGATGTGCTTGAGGGTTGTCTCTGTGTCAGCATTCCTTTCCATGCACAGTGTGCCCAGTTCCCGATTCACGTCGTGATGGCATACCGCACTGTCCAGCCCTGAGATGACTTGTGACACGGCGTGGGTATGCTGCCCGCTGGCTTCCCCGTTTCGTCAGCCAATCGACCCACAGACGATGGGCATAGGAGACTAAATGCGATAGCAAAAGCTGACGCTCGACTATGCAAATCTGGTCGCCCTTCCGCTGACCCAGCACGTTCATCGGGCTTCAGTCAACACATGAACTCGCCAGCCAGCACCTTCCCCAAAAAAGATACTCAGTTCATAGTAGGAACCTTGTGGAATCGCCCTGTTGCCAAAATCGACGAAATCCAAAGAGGCTCGAAGGTTTTGTGCGTTCTGTGACCTTTTCTGCTCGGATTTCACTTTTGCGGACACGCGCCGTAGATGCTTAACAAGTTTGAGCTTGTTGTACAGATGATGGAGGTTTTGGGATATTTGCCGCCGAAGCTGAGCTTCTGGGGCTACCTCTGGCAAACTAATGCAGCGCCTCCATGCCTCCCTGCATTGATTACCTGTCGCGTGGAAGTCGCCACAAGCGAAGCTTGCAAGCAAAGCGCCAGCCCTGCCCAGTTCGTCCCGTCGGCACATGTAGCGCGGGTGTGGAGTCGGAATGCAGAACCTGAGCATTCCCTACATCCTGAGAGAAGTCAATCGTGCTAAGGCCATGTTGCTTCGTGGACTCTGCCTCGTTTTGCAGGCTCTTGGTAGGCACAATTTCAGCTTCGACGCCTTTGGTCACTGCACTGTGGCCGGTAGGAAAACACTTCCGTTGCCGAAGCCTGGACTCCGTGGGTGTGGCGCCCGGCTGTGTTGAGGCATTCCGTGGAGGCCATCAAACCCTGCCAGCCCACAGAGCCGACTCAGGCAGAACGATGGCTGAACCAAGCCGGCGTGTGAATGCTGTAGAAGTGTCGTTCGGTGCAGTTTACGGCAGTGCTACTGACTGCCTTACTTTGTCTCAAGGGTCACTGTGCAAAGGACGGCGCGGCGCCGCGCGCACATGAGCGTCTCGGCTTTCCTGCGAAGCAGGTGGCAAGCAGAAACTCATTTTCCGACCCTTGGTTGACAGACCTCAGAGCATAGGGATCGATAGGCTGTGCCATTTTCTGTTGGAGCTTCCACTCCAAGCTTCGGCCAGCTGCAAAGACTCGAACCAGCAGAGCACACCGGTTGGCAGCAGTTTCCTTACATTGATTCCATGCCTTCGAACTGGTGAGTTGCAGCCACTGCCATGAGGTTCATGACAAGAGCATGAAGCATGGCCCCGTATGATGGCGCCCAAGTAGCCGAGCACTGGGCCAGGTGCCAAGGCCCTGAACTGAACCGCAAGAACAGAGACTGCAACGTCGACTTAAGACACTATCCTCGAACCGTTCCCTCGCCTGCAACATGCAACACTCCAGATGCTGAATGCTCTTCCTGCGCAAGGAGACTCAGACTTGATGATTGAAAGCAGCTTCGTCCGGAATGCTGGCAAGCATCCTGCTTGTAGGATGACCGCCCCCGCCACTCCGTGCATGCAGGCGCATAGTGGCATGAACTATTGTTTTGCCGTCTCGAGTGAGAATGTGTCAATGCAGCTGAAGGGTTGGCATTGAGCGCTTGAGCAGTCTACAGGCGGTGATTGCAGAGTCTTTAGCCTGAGCCTCGTTTGTAAGAGGGGTGAAATCTGCAAAAGTTCATGTCAATGGTTCGTCGCGCACAGGGCATTGTCGGACGATCTCCGTCTTAGCCGTGTCGGTGTCTGCCGCTCCAGCAACGTCACTGCCCGAGGCGTGATATGAAGAATCACCTGGACTTGGCTCCCAATTCGACACGAGTCACAGCTTAGGTGTTGGGTTGGTGGCTTCTCTCGTGAGCTTGCTGCTCAGATGTGCTGTGTTCTTTATTTATTACACGTCACAACACACTGGCATCGATTCGAGATTGTTGGAACAAAATTTTTCTTCAGTCAAGTTCACCAGCATAGACTAGCGCAAGGGTTTGAGCGACGATCGAGATGCTAACGGAAGCAATGAGTGGCTGCGCGGATATGGGTTGACAATCATTGTGACGATTACCTTAACATTGACTGCACAGCTATTCTGGATTTGCTTGCTTGCTTATTTATTTATGTATTTATATATATATATATATATATATATATGCAGTTATACACAGTTGAATACTATGCGCACCCGGCCACAATGGACGCTACCTACACGTAGAGGTAGATACGCGCATGTGTTTGTGCAAGTTGGACCAGAGCAGGCACCTACAGGTAGAGACTTCGCTGCGTGAGGAATCGGAAGACAGTGCCGGGCCGGGAGAAGAAGTTGGGGCTTTGCCTTCCCAGGTTCTGCTGCGACGCGCAGCACGGCGAGGGGGGTAACCCGGCTTGCTGGGCCACGGCCTCGGGAGTACGGCGAGCACGTGGAGTCCGAGTCACGGTAGTACAGAGTGTGGGAAAAACGGTAGTAGTGTTGGTCTTGTTCGTGTCGCCAAGCGCTGGAGCAGAGAAAATGATCGGAGGACAGCGTTTTCCATTATGATCCCTGCTGCACTCGACCAGATCCGCTTGAGGCCCTTAACCTTTGCAGCCTTTTGAAACATAACCTAAACCTGGGAGACACTGGCTGAGGCAGATGATGCAGGCCACCGTCGATGTCGTGGACGACTCCAAACCTCTGCCGAGAATGCCGCCTTCAAGCTGTCAGTTGCCTGGCAGGCCACGAGAGCCTGACAAACGGCTTCCTGGCAGGTGGCTCAGGTGTCAAGATGTGCAGGGCATGTAGCACTTTAACCCAGCTGCCCGACTTCCTAGGTCGCGCTTGAGAGGAAAGTCGATGCAGTTCTTGCAGACGGTGCCAGCCTGGAATCGTTTGAAGGCTCAGCAATGAAGCCGATGTCTGTTCCACTGTGCTCTCACGCTACTGTCTCGGGGCTTGTCCGCTGCACAGGTGATCTTCGACAGACAATCCTTTCCCCAGAGCAGCGCTCTACGTCGCCTGGCATGACATGACAATCGCAGAATATGTTGACTAGCAGCCGCAGACCCAAACGAAAGGCCACTTCAATCAACATTTTCTGTCGAGCAAGGCAGAATCGCTAGTTTGAAAGTTGATACGTGGCAGAGACTTGCTCTGTTGTGGTTCCCGTTGGGCGGACTCAGGTCAGTGCCAACAGCAAGAGCTTTGCTGGCTGTCGTACTCGGGCGTCTGATTCCCAGCGTGTGGCCAGAAGAGCACTTCGTCTCGCTTGATATCCACTCGAGAAGCGCTGCATCAGTTCTGTTTGTGGGGAAACTGTTTGCGAATTGGTGGCATACAGCCGCAGTTGCACAGTGCAAGCTTGGAGCACGGAGGCCGAGCACATACTTCTTGATACATGACACAAGAGCCGTTAGCTCTGTGGCTCGGGGAACGTTTCGGCATGGCTAGCGAGCGTCTGCTCGTGCACTAGATATGACAAAAAAGCAGTACTGACTGCACTCGGAGACTCGGATGGTCTCGATCTGGATCGCACACTTCCACCAACTCGTCGACTTGCCATGCAACACGTGAGCCCACGCAGGTTGCAGCCACATTGATCTGCTCTCCTAGCAGTCATCGCTAAGTTATCACTCTCAACGGGAGAAGCTGCTAGGGTCGAAGCTTGCACTTCGAGAGGGCCGTGCGAGGCACTTTGTGCACTTCTCGCTTCGGTCCGATGCGGTCAGGCACGGATGTGGAGCAAACCTGAAGCACGCAATATGCGGAAAACGGAGGTTGCAAAAGCATTCATAACCGCAATGTAGTGGTCTACTGCAACTGAATTCATGCAGTCTGCACTAATCTTGTTTCGAACCTGCTGAGGCAAGCTAGTAAAAAGTCCAGCCTGCGAGAGCTGCGAGAGAGCCGGCCCCTAGTGCAGTTGCAATATGAGGACTTGGAAGAAGCCAGGAGGCCGAGCAAGAGCTTGCAATGGTGAGCATCCAAGAGTCCTCAGAGTCCTTTCGTCCTTTGGTCTTCGTTTAGACAAGAAGCCTGAGGCCTCGCATGACCTGTCCATCGCACCCAGTGGAGCGTTGCAGACTCAGTCCTCCACATGAGTGTGCACTCACTTCAGATTGCATTCGCCTTGGAGTCTTGTTGGAGGGTGAAGTCTGAACCGCAGCTCCTTTGCAGGTGGGTGGGCACAGAAGCTGCCGGATACCACATGCACGACAGGCGCCCTATCATTGGAGCCTTTGCCGGCAACTGCAGCTATAAATTCCTGTGCAAGGCCTTTCGCAGAAGCGCTGATAACATTCTTCAAGTCAAGGGAGGCCGCGGCTGTTCGAACTGAAAGAAGTAGCTATGTGTGCGTGCGTGCCCGCGTGTACTCGGAAAGCATCGACGGCAAGACCTGCCCGATTCCCGGATTCACAGCGATTCTGTGCTCTCAGTAATTGATGCGCATGCGGCTCTGCCTGGTGCTGCCAGTCGCCTCATTTGTGACAACACCGTCCCAACCCGTGTGAAATCCCGTGCTGTGAATGCACCCTGACCTGAGCATGTGTAGAAGCCATGACCATGACATGCATGCTTGTATATATGTTTGTATCCGCTGCCGTAGGGCCCCCTTGAGCAATACCAGCTGGCTTCGCAGTTCGGTGAAAAGTCCGCCAATTTCAAACGTGCCCGGCAGCCGCTTGCAGCCACAGAGCCGGCACAGCCGGCACTGTCAACGTCGAACATCTAGACACGATCGAATGTCCGACCACTGCCACGGCTCGAACCAAACAAGAGCTTTTGAGCATCTCGAAGTCGTTGCGCTTCGCCCCTACTTGTAACAGTCATTTCGTGAGGGGGCTCAGGCCTTCAGTCTCCGTGGTTCGAGCTCCGAGAGTGTCAGCTCTAGGGACTTCAGGCTTTGGCTTGGCTCAAAGTCAGGCTTGGGCTCCGAGGTGGTTGCAAGCCCGGAAGTGCACGCGGAGAAGCCTCGGCCCAGTCCGGTTCATTGCTCTTCGATCGAGTTTCTGAGGGCTTCCACGCGCGCGCTCTGGGGGCAGGGGAACAAACCAGATTGCAGCACTTTGTCCTGAAGGGTTGGTGGACAGCAGTTTTGCAGCTGCTTTTGTCTGTGTTGTGATGAGAACCTGGTCAAGGCAACTTCGGTTGCTGACTTTGGATGTGGACTGGGGCTTTATGCCAGCCCCTCAACCGCCGGGCTGAGAGAGTGTGCCGCTTGGCCACGGTTCCCAGGTTCGCGACCTTCGAAGGGTCGGCTTCAGATCTGGTGGCTTTGATGGAGCCGCTGTCGCTGTCAGTATTCAGTGGGGATTTGCTCCAGCGGAGCGTCGTCCGCAGGAAATCCGGCGACGTGGGAGATCACTGACGGCCGATGCCTTCAGGCAGGGCTCTGGGGCTCTGCCTGAAGCTTTGACTCCGCTCCGAGAGGCAATTGAGACGTACAGGAATTCTTTCTGCAGCTTCTGACTTCCGACTTCTTTAATACGAATCGCCGAGTGAGGGGGGGAATTTTCAGATCAGTGATCATCTGGGCCAGTCAACTGGGATCGCCAAACTTACGGACGGGTTCAAGACATGCGATGAATCAGAATCGTCATATGGGGACCCTCGTTTAAAACAGGCGATGAGCCGGGATCGCTAAATGACGGGACCTGCTAACCAAGGGGGGGGTTCAAGAGCGCGATCGCCAATGAGGCGCGAATTCGGGATCGCACAAGGACGGGTGTAAGGTATGTGTGGAGGGGCAGGATCAAGAATGTGATCAACCGGGATCGCCAAATGAGGGGGCAAGCTTAAGATATATGATCAACCGTGATCGCCACATGGGACGGCGAGGTTCAGGTATTTGATCAGCCGTGATCACCGGATGAGGGGGCGCGTTGAAGAACTGTGATGAACCGGGAGGACCGAACGAGGAGGCGGGCTTAAGACAGGTGATCAACCCCAGGTGATCGCCAAATCAGGGACCCATTTGAGACATGAGATCGATCGGGATCGCCAAAGGAGCAGGCGGGTTTGAGATATGTGATCACCCATGCTCGCTAAATGAGGAGGCGGGTCTGAGAAATGTGACTAGAAGTTGAAGGGATCTAACAAGGCATCGCTAAGTTGAAGACTGAGGAGGGCTTCGTGTTTTCCCTCCCGACCACGACCCACCTTGCCGTGTGGGAGGGCTCAGTACCCCGTCTGCGGAGGGGAGAGGTCCGGAGAGTCCCTGTCGCCAGAAGGAAATGACAACCAGCAAAGAATGGAGAACATACACAGGAACCAACTGGTAACTGGTGCCCCGATTTCCGGAGGCAGGACGCACGTACGCAAGGAAATTACTCACTCGCCAAAACGCAGGTATGCTGAAGGCTGCAGCTTAACGCTTGTATCTGTCCGGCCTGTTCAGCGCCACCTGCTTGGCTCGGTGTCTCCAAATCCCATTTGCCAGACTTCAGAGATAATGTGGGACTGTCCAACACATGATGCCGTGCAGTTGCGGAAAGAAGCCCATGCGAAGCCTTGCCGAGCCAATTGGCGCATCCTGGCAGGCTGATCTGAGCAAGGACCTGGACCTGGGAACGCGCTGGGACTGGGTCGCAGACCCGGAGAACCAAGCCTTCCTGCTTGCTCATGCTTGCTGCTCGCGGCTTGTGCAGCCGAGGTCCTTTCCTTGGAAGTCGCAGAGCACATTCCGCGACAGTTCGAGGAATCATTCCTTGACAACTTGGAGAGGCCTCGGGGTCCAACTTGGGATATGCGGGGCTCTGTTTTGTGGCGCTGCGAGACATGCTTGCTCCGGCATGGTGCTGTCCTGGGGCAACCAGGCGCAACGAATACGTGGTGTGTGTACCTATCAGGATTTCCTGCTTGCAGGCAGGAGAAGGCCACGTAAATCTTCGCACGTCCGAAGAGGCTGTTTCAGCGTACTTCCGATTCTCTCTTGTCTCTCGCTTCACATCTGGCGGGAGCGGGGCTGGGGTCTCTGTTCATGAGGTAGAAGATCTCATGAAGCAACGCGGCTTCGAGAGTATCTGGCCAAGCTTGCGGCTCCAAGCCCGTGGATGATACACCTGACGATTTCTCGCAGCGTTGTCAGCTCGACGGCTTCAGAATACTGATCGACAAGCAAACCTGCTGCATCATGTTATGAAGCAGGCAAGGCGGCAAGGAGGTACTGTCAGTCTCAATGGACTCTTGCCGCAGTCCTGCAGTGCACCAGCCTTCTCCACCAGCTGTAGACTTTTTTCGGACGTCCGATGGCCATTGGTGACGACCTGCAATGGGTGACGATGCAAGCGCTGCGAAGCTCGTGAAGCTTCACTTCGTGGCATGGCCTCACCAGTAGATTTCTGGAAAACGTGCGCTGAAAATGCCAGTGCCTTACAGGTATTCACGTGGGTCTTGGCGGTCGTTGTTGCCTTGAACTGGTGCCTAAGATGCAGCATTTTCACGTCTAGATGGGCGTGCCGGAGCCCGGATGCTATTAGCCAAGGTGCTATGTCTTCAAGCAGCTTCCATGCAATGAGAGTCGAATGCCACAGTCGCGAGCCTGAGAGCCAAGGCTTGCGCTGCCCCAGTACTCGGAGTCCATTTTGGGATGGAGCATCTACACACTGGTGGTGACCGCCCTGATGCCACTGATTCGCTACAAGCTCCAAGGGCACCGCTTTGGGAGCCGCCCATTCCGAATGACTCGGCTTCTCCTTATGAGCATGACAGGGACGGTGGTGGGCACGAGCTGGTCCGGTCTGGTCGCTCTCCTCTTCCCACAAGTCTCAGACTTTCAGTCTCCGGGTCCGACTGGCATTACACTGGCCGTCGCCATCACCTTCCTCTTTGTCATAGTCCAGACCATCTTGGAAAAGCAAATTCAGGAGATGCCAGATCCTCAAACTCCGGAGAACACCTATGGCGGTGCTGTCAGAAGCACGCTGCTGAACTCCTTGTGGTCTACTCTTGGATACTTTTGGAACTCGGTCTGGAATCGCTTTCTGACGAAGATGCAAAGGGCCTCCCGGCCTCACCCACGGCCACGGCTGGGCCTACTAGGCAACATCGGCAACATGACCCTGCAGGGCGACTTCGATGCTGCGGGCCCGGCCAGGGACGGGCCGCTGCACAGGTTCAAGACCCTGCAGGACGAGATGAATGGTCGCCCCGAGAACATGGACTCCAACGGGCCGGGCTACAGACTGCTTCTGGTGAAAGCCGTTGCCATGATGCATTTAAGGACAGAAGCACAGCTCGCTGCAGTGCTCGTGCTCGTTTGCTGCAGGTTCTGACTCTTCTGGCAGGTCGCCCACTCAGCTCTTGGGAATCTGCAGGCTGAGGCAGCCATTGAAAGCTGACTCCAGGCATTCTCCTCCTGTGCTGCTTGCCAGAGCCAAGCGAGCGATACGGCTCGCATCGTCGCCGGGCTCTGATCGCTCTGAAGATGATGGCAATTATCATCACAAGTGCCTTCGCAGCATGCCCTTGCTGAAGAAATATGTAGGATTTCAGAAGGCCAGGATTGGCTTCCTTTGGCTGAGGTAGTGGTTGCTGAGTACGCTTGCATCACAGCGTGAATTTTCAGATGTAGGTTACGCTGTGACCGACGCTGGGTTCTACTTCGGCACAAAGCTGGTTGCCGACCGGACAGGGAGCGCGGCCTTGGGGCTGGCGGTCTCTTTTCTCTATGCGGGCCTCGTGACTTTATTTGTGACATACATCGCTGAAAGATCAACATGGCATCCAGAGCGGGTTTTTCCGAACCGACTGCAGACGCTGGGTGCCTGGCTTGTTTGTTATGCATGGTGGTACAGTTGGCAGGAGGTGCTGTACCAGATTCAGGGCTTTGGATTATGGCAGTTGGGGATGAATAGCGTCCTGGAGCAAAGCCTGCAAGTGGCAATCGCCATTAGCGGCGCGCTTTGCTTTACGCTTCTGTTGTCGCTGGCATTGGTCAGCGCGGCTCAGTTGGGATGTTGCGCTTTACCTCCGATTGCAGCAGTGCTGCCGCAGCTGAAGCAAGCGAGCATGAGAAACTGCAACTTTCCAGAGTTTTCTGCATGCCTTGGCTTGCCGGTGGACGAACGTCTTCATGGAATTCAGCTGGGCTCCGACCAACCTGCAAGTGCCGACGCAGATTGAAAGCTGACCCTCGCTGCCCTCGCAGTAAATGAAGGGACCAAGTTGGACTTCGGAGCCAGAGATTAGATTGAGGAGAAGGGATGATGGTAGTGCTGGACTTCTTGGAGGGGTGCTTCAGCCAGGCCTTGAAACTTCTTAAAAGATTCCTCGCCGAGGCCTGCCGGAAAAAAGCGAAGAGCTGCGTGCCGCAGCAACCCTGCCGGGATCTCAGATCGCGCAGGGTGAGTTTTGAGAGCCTGGACCCTGGCGGCCTGGCCAGGCCTTGGCTGAAGTCCACGGTGCTGGTCTTCCAGCGACCTTGGCCTGGAAGCCGCGGACTGCTTGGGTGCTAAAAAAAAGCCTCCGACTCGCCGTTTTTGCCGAAAACGGCAAACTCCCTATCTGCACCGCATGCCCGGCGCAGATGCAGCAGCAGACCGATGCACCCGGGTCTTCGGAGCCGTGGGGGCCTTGGGTCGGCCGCGAATCCGCGTGCACCGAGCTGGTGCATGGCCCTCAGCTCGGAGGCAGAAGAAATCGAGTCAGGCACGGAGGGGTTCACGCGAGGGTATTCTGACGTCTGCTGTCTCTGCATTCATTCTGGGTGCAACTGGCTCTGTTGATTGGCGCTTGGTGCCTGAGAGGCAGCAAAGCGCTGGAAGAAGGCATTAATCAGCGACAAGGCCCGTGCTAGGGGTGTTGCGCGTTTCCGATCTGTCGTCTGCTCGTCCGTCTTCGCTGAGGTGGACAACGTTGTTCAGGCAGGTCGTTTCAGGAAGTGCTTCGATTCATGTCCTGCGGTTTCATTCGATCAGGAGTGGAAGATCTCGTCGGCGGAGAAGCAGGCGCTGAGTGCTTCAACAAGCGCGAGTCCGTTAGTATCAGGGTTCCGTTCGCCCTCTCTCCTCGTACGTGCTTCCAAGGAGGCCAGCCGCGACAAGCAAAGCAGATCGAGCAGAGTGTCTGCGACGAGTGTGGCTCGGCAGCGGGCAGCCACTTCCCCTATATATGGGCACACTAGTCACTAGTCATTAATCTGGTGAAGGACAGCCGTCCAGAGCAGCGCAACAGCCACGTCTTGCTGAACCCCTCCCAGGCGCTTTCAAACGAATAATGCAACCTTCCTGTCACAACAATGTCAAACCGTGCCAGGGCCCATCCACCAGCATGTCCGTCAGATCAGGCAGCAAGGATATCCAAGCGACAAATCCTAAGTGAGGTCCGCAACCTTGTCACAAGCCTGAAAGCTGCGCCAGGACACGCCTCGCAAACGCAGCCTGAGCTCCAGCAAGGAGACGCTCTTACCCTCCCGTCCGCGTCAGCTCACCACGTCTCAAGCGGCCACATATATAGCGATGTAGCGCAGATATCTAATGCGTTATAAATGCATGAATGGAGGAGACCCCACGTGCTCGAGGCTCGAGCCTCAACGTCGGAAAGGATGGCAAAAAGGCTCCGGGCCACATCCCATCATCACATGAGCTTAGGGCCTAGCAGCTCAAGGAATCTGAAAGAGTCAACGGCCTGAGTAGACCGTCCTTAACGTCCTCGAGCATTGGCCTCGCAGGAGTCAGCGCGAGCGCGCAGCGGGAGTCGCTCTAGGAAGGCGGGCAGAGGGTGAAGGAATTTGGCTCATTTTGGCATCACGTTGCCACGTCGCATGGCTGGAGCACTGGCTACACTTCTGCCACAGGAAGGGCAAGGGGCGAGAGTAGGCCGCTTGAGACAGTTATTGGGGCTTGGCCTTAAGCAGCCTGAGTTTCAGCGTGTCAGCTCTCTGCCCCATCGCCCATGTCAGCTCCACTTCAGTATAGGTTGTAGGGCTTTCATCGGGTTTCAAAGGTCACTGCAGTGTTTAGGCTGGGTTTTCTGAACTAGCGGCTAGCGGTTTGAGGACGTGAGTGATTGAAATGAGTGGGAAGCAGTTCACTGGGCGGATTAAAGTTCGAAATGAACCTTCCGGTTCATCAACAGGCTTACCAGACTCCGGAGGCATCAGCAACGACGACAAAAGCACTAGCTGAATCCGATGCTGATGGTGGGAGGGTGGGAGGGCTTTGCTGGATATTGTTCAGTGGTTATTACTGAGCATGGTGCAGATATGTTGGGGTGTTTCTACTTGTGGCACCGCATTGGCAAACAGCATGGTCGCCTGACAGGAGTGAGTGTCTTGTTGCACATCCAGTCTGAGCACCAGGCCAAGGACTTGTCTGAGAGCGCCCCTACAAGGTATGCTGCTGATTTTCGGGTTGTGATCGAGCCAGCGGCAGGTGGCCAAAGGCGCCGATTCCTCCTCCCGGACACGGTCATGGATCTTGCAGCGAAGCAGATCGTCGACGTCGGAGGCCAGTTTTGCAGTCGAAGTGAACTGGCAGAAACCTGGCACGCACAGGTCCCTTCAGCGCCAGCCGCCCTCTCACGATGCGTGCGCCGCGGGCAGTCCTGGGTGCAAATCCGTGAAGGAAAAGCGACTCAGATAATGTGCTCTGCATGTACGTGAATGAACCGAGGGCATCCGAAGACTGAACCAGATTGAAGAGGTACTTGCTGGTTAGTCGTACTTTACATAGTGCTTCTGTCGAAACAGAATCGCATCGCTTTGCCACCGCAACTTGGCTCTTACCTCACTAGAACACAAGACGGATGAGGATCCTCTATGCCCTATGCCGCAAGCGGACGGGCAAGCTGCCCTTGTACTGCCATCAGAGCTCGAAGCAACGGAAGTTACGTTTGCACGTGGTACTGCCTGTCCAAGCCATGGTTGCCGAGAAGCTGGATGGACCAGACGAGTTTGCTACCTTGTGCGACTGTCTCTTCAGGCACGTCCGTGATTCGAGATTGTGCGTGTCACTTTGTGCACCATGTCGACCTCCATACGTTGCAGGTCCGGAGTACTGAGGCTCTGGAGCTTTGGGAGCATGCCTTTTGAAAGACGGCTTAGGGCTTTGGAGGACAAGCGTGCGCAGGCGAGATACCTTCCTGGCCGCGCTTCACCGGCGCCGATTCGAGGCTGTGCGGCGAGCACATCCTTATCCAGTACATTCCAGGCTGACACGCACTCAGCTAATTTACAGCTTCAGTGAGTCAGAAGGGGGAACGCTGGGCTGCGGCTTCGCTTGAAAGCACTCAGGGCTGATGTTTTCAGAATCGCCGAGCTGGCAACAGCGGTATCGTCCTTCGGCTGCATTCCTTGAGATCTCTGGTGTCTGATGCAATCAACGAACGCATTTGATGATGCTTAGGTCTTTTTTGTGCCTTGCTGGCACTTGCCGCCTTCGTGAACTGTCAAACTCATCTCGTGATGCCTCCAGGGCAGCCGTTTTCGGCTGCTTGGCCGAGACTGGCCTTGCTTTTCCCTTCCAACTCTCAATGCTGCAGTCGCTGAAAGACATACCCTTGTTGGCTGATGCGTCTTCAGTATCGATACTTCGCATGCAGGCTTCTGAGTGTTGACTGCACGCAGGTCACTCAGACTCGCAGGCGGTCTTCGTATCAGGCTGCAACCAGAACCTGACTATGGAAAAGATTGCGCTCCACTGCAGCACGTTATGCGCGCTTTCGGCTGATCGGTCCCTAGCTGGCCAGCATTCTTCTCAAAGGCTTGCATAGTTAGCAACACACACCCGAGGCACTTCGACCCTACTCGCCACAGGTGGAGCACGCTTTATGTTCCGAAGCCATTCAGCTTCACGGAGTATTGAGACATCTCCCTTAGGCTTTAGGCAACGCGGGATCCGCGATCTTCCAATTCCAAGGTCATTGTCGATTGGTTCTCGCTCTTTCTGCATGCTCGGGCCCTGAAGTGCAGGGCATGCAGAAGCATTTCGTTGTCGTATGTGAGTGCTGTAGCCCTTGATCAGCAAGCTGACCGAGACATTTTTTTATCGAGCTCTGAGCTCCAGCGAACATGCAGCAGAAAGCATGCACGTGTTTTAGCAAAGTGACTGGTCCTCTTTCAAGGATTGCAATCTATCCATTTAGAAGAGTTTAGGGTGTCTGCCGGTACGTCTCGAGCGAGGGAGTGGCTGTGGAGAAACGGGGTCTCCGTGAGGCCGCTGATGTGACCTGCTGTGAGTACTGCCACGTTCTTCTCCCGACTGGTCTACGCACAGCTGCATGGTGCGTGCAACATCGAGTTTTCATCTGTAGTCGGCTCCGTGGACATCCGTCCCACCGAATTGATGGCGACCAGTGACCAGAAGACAAGCCAGGAGACTGATCGCTTCGTTGTTGCCACCATCCTTTGGAGCGTTTGCCGGTTGCAGTGAGCCTCGAGGCGGTCTGCTGTCGATACTGAAGGTTTCTCAGTGATGCGACTGGTGGTGTTCTTCATCGCTTGCAGTCCCGTAGCTTGAAAGGGGGCACATCTCGCGTGCACATGCGTACACATCACCATCCATGGAGTCCACTTCGTAACTCCCACGTTCTTTCTTCGGCTTTGTCACTGGCATGGAGACAAGCCATCAGTCTTCGAGGCCACGGCCAGTGTTCTGCTCCATTCCTGCGTGTTGTTCGTTCTTAATGCTTCACTTCCTGTGGTGGAGCTGGACCCACTTAGCGGCTGTGGCCCACAGGTTTGCCAGGAGATGCAGGCACTTGCTGCGCAGAAACCGTTTCAGGTCCCAGGACATCCGGTTTCACCTGCCGCACAGCAAACTTGCATCAGAGAAAATTGCCGGAGCTTTGCGGCAAATCAAGTACTCAACTAGGAAGTCCGGTGTTATGTCCACGAATAAGGCGGTGCTCTGACGGGGTGTGCACTGCAGGAGTGTCCCAGGGTCTCTTCGTCTTTGTTAAACCGAGTGCTTGCCTTTCCCGTTGTCTTTCCGGTCGCACGTTCTGTAGCATTCTCTGTGCCGCTGCTTTCCAGGTCGCTGCACTGCTGCACGCATCGGAATCCAGAGTCGGCGTAAGGCTGGAATAAGTCAGCTTGACCCTGAGGCCAACCTTGCTGGGGCACGATGGCTTCGTGGCAAAAAAGGCAGGCTCAGTTGTTTGGGTTCAACGTTGTAGCTTCCGCGAGGCTATCTGTATGTATGTGGGGCACGGAGCGACGACCACGCGAGCCCTGGCTAGCCAGACGTGAGGAAACATTGACGTGAGGAATCGCAGGATTGCGAATTGCTGTCTGCAGATTTTTGTCCAACATCGTGCTTTCCAGGATGTGCATCCAACGTTTCGATGCATTGAAATCTTCCTGGACCACCCTGCCAGCAGCCCAGCTTTGCTTCTGCGATCCTACACATTTCGGATCTCGGATCCATTTCTCAGGCCTTCGGCGCCAACGCCTCGCCGTGGCTTTAACAACTGGCCTGCCATCGCCTGCATGGAGGTGCTACAGCACGGAACCCGCAATCCGGAGCGGAGGGAGTGCTTGTGACTGCTGCATGGGCCAAATCTGGTCGGGTGCAGGGCCACATCTATGTCTGTGGTGGCAGTAGTCCTGGCCTCAGTCCTCCAAAGACTACTGTGATTACCGGCAGTCAGTCGGCGATGGATGAGGTGATGACGAAAACTTTTTGAGCGGAGTCGATTGCTTCGACCCGCCGCTTCGTTTGCAACATGTTCTTCCCGATCATGATGTTCTCAAGAGCTTTCTTTGCCAGGCTGACCTTCAAGTGGGAATCTTTGGGAGCGAGCCTTGCCTCAAGGAAGACTTCGAGTGCCATGTGAAATCCTGAGCTGTTTTCAGGATGGGCACGCCACGGGCAGGCGCTGCTGCCGCGGCTCTAAACGGTCACCTCTATGCACCCCGGCCGCATCCAGTTCTCTCGTGGAAGCCTCCAATAGGGCCGAGGCTTCGGGACTCCCGGCCTCCCCGAAAGAGAGACGTTGGCCATGTGACACGAGCTGCAAGGTCTGTGGTGGCGAGACAGGCACCTCGGGAATCAACGACTTCTCAGCTCTTGACACGGCCGAGCGTTTCGCACGAGCTCCTCAGCATATTCAGCGGTTAAAGGTCAATGTTCTTTGAATCGCGTACACGTGCCTCTGTCCCTCGCGAGTCGTCTATTCGCCGTGAGGTGAGCGGCTGGGAAAGTTTGCCTCCGATGTCCGAGCCACGAGGCGGGGATGCAAATGGCGATCCCAACATCGCTGCCTGTGTCCTCGGCGACTTCCTCTACGTGACCCGGCGGCCGCAAGACTAAGACTACCAGTCAGAGCTGCAGAACCGCAAGCCTTCGCCTAGGTGCGTGGGGGGCACGAAGTCGACAGTATGGAACGACTCCTCTCTGCAGCAAGCTGCGATGGCGTGCCATGCTCTGCTTAGGCCTAAAGCCTAAAGGCCTAAAGTCGTGCATCTGCTGCCCAAGGCTTTAATCCATCTGCTCATTGCTGGGAGAGCCTACCGCCAATGAGGACACCGAGGTATTATGCCACGGGGCTGCACAGGAGATGGCTGGAGGCGCAAGGCGCAGAGGTCTGCACAGGTCTGCGCCGGTCCAGCGGCCCGAGCTGAGGCTGCCATGGTGGCCTTCAACAGCCGAGTTTATGCGCCCCCGTCGGCAGGAGCCGAGTTCTTGAATCTTACTTGACGAATACGTTGAGAGCACCGTCACATCTGTCTTCTCGACAGCCAACTCGGTACAAGTCCTCCTTCACTGGCGGTACAAGTAGTCATCTTGAATATGTCGCTGAGCTCAAAGGTGTGCTACCTGCCACGTAGGTATGCGGTGGGAAAGACGACTATGACGCCGAGGAAAGAAGTGTAAAGGTGAAGCAGCAATAATGTGGCAGTGACAGAGATGCGACAAGACAGACGGAAACTGCGTACGAGGACTTGGACTCCGTCGAGGCTTTCAATCCAGCTCTCGGATGTTGGGAAGCTGTACCCTCGATGAACATCCCAAGAGCGAATGCTGGCGCAGTGGCTTCTGAAGGTTGCACAGCTGCCAACCGCTAACCGTCAGTTGCATGTACAACAGTCCTCAGAGACTAGCCGAACACTCACTTTTCCGCTCTAGTGGAACCATGCAAGAGACAGCATGCCATATGCAGCTGGCAAGATTCCACGCTCCTTCTTGGCATCTCAGGTTATATCTATATGTGTGGAGGTGGCTTGTGCTTCTGATGCTTTGCTTCCTGCTCTACAAGTCTGGGCCAGTCCTTTCCGGGAAGTTTTGCTTCGAGTCGGTGCAGCACCTTCGACAATTCACACTCCACCAGGGGGTGTTTCGTTTCCAGTTGTTGTCAGTATAGCTGTCAGTATAGCACCACGTGAACGTCAGGTTCTCCAATGTTTGATGCTTCAACCAAGCAGCACCCATGTAGCGGAGCGGGGGGGTCTTCTGCCGTTGAGTAAGCGAACAGGGCTACACAGTGGATGTGTTTGCCTCGCACGGCCTGATGACAGTTCTTCATAATTTTCTAAGTAAAGTGCGTTCTGCAAGATTTCCAGTGCTGCATCGGTAGCGAATCAGCGAGCACTGCATTTTGGTTTGGATACCGGTACAAAGGAGCTGGCTGACTATCACAGTTTGTTAGACCAGCGGCGCGGGGCACGTGTGCAGTAGAGGGCAGTTCAACTACAGAAAATGGTGTTGTGTTTGGCAAATCCCTCTGGCTGGAGTGCAAGACCAGTGCCCACAGCCTGTAGCTCAATCGAAGAAGTTATTGCTCCAACTCCAATTTCGAGCCTGGTCCTAACCTCCGACGCACAAGACCACGGATTCAGCTTCCACCGTCCAACCTGAGACCAGGTCGGATATACTCCGACAGTGGCCCTTCGAGGTGTTTGTCCTCACTGGAGCGCTATTGCTTGTCTAGGCGAAGGGACAGGGAAGAGCGACATGATTCAGCCTTTACACTTCGAGAGAGCTAGGTGTGGCTGGGAAGCTTTGCCAGCGATACCTGCTGAGGGGGTTGAGCCTCACTCCATTCTGCTCGTCTAGCGAGAGACTAGAGAGCTGCTCAAGCTGGTGTTTGTACATAATCTGATCCCTTCAACGCGGGCCGAAGATGCCTGCGACACTGGCCGGCACTACGTGCGGAAACGTGAAGCTTCCTTTTGCATGGCTGGTTGTCACATCTACTGATCGACTCGTGCCTTTATCCAGAGCTTGCCCTGCTTACCAAGATGTTTCAAACAACTCGGGTCAGATGTGAGATGATCGTGTGTGGACCATTCGTGAAGCGATCGCAAGTCCAGCTATGGCTGCTTTACATATCAATATGTCGCGCTAGTGATGCTGCTGGCCAGCCATGCTCGTGGCGACAGGGGAGCATGCCTCTGCCCGCTGACAGAGCGACCTCCACCGCGACCAGCTCCACACGCTCGAAGCGGCGACAAAGGCCCTGCGAGATCGAAAGAACTTTCGGAAGAAGTCTTCGAAGGCTCCTTCTTGTGCCAGGCGGAGTGAGACAAAGCCAGCTCACGATGCCTGGCGGCTTTTCAACGAAAGGATTTTCGGATTCTTTCGAGTGTATGGCATTGATGATTGAGGACATTCGCTGCTTCGGGTGTGGTCGGGTGCCATGCTGCGGATTACTGGTTGTAGCAACTGGGCTCGGCAGTTTGATTTTCAGGCTCGCTGTCTGATTTTTATAGCCTCTGTGCATGCGAGGCAGTCATTGCTATCTTGGCGTTGAGCGCCTATGTTATTTCAGACAGGCCCGTCAGCCTGTCCTCTTTAAGCATCTGTAATGCTCGCTGGGGTGTTCTTTGTTGCTGTATCAGCCCTTTGCGGTCGTGGCAGGGCAGGCGATGCCCTCACGATTTTGGACGTGTACCTGAAGTCGGCGGGCCCGCCCAGAATGAGGCGTACTGCAGTTTGCAGCAAAACGTTTGCGTGCAGGACGTTTTAAATGTCGACGTGGGCTCGTCCACACTCGAAAACGGAGGCATCAGGGAAAGTGATTTCCTCATCTGCAGTTTGCGTCCACAGCTTGCAATAGATGCAGATACGATCAGGTGCTCTCCAGGAATTTGTGCAGACCGAAGCTTCCACGACCCGAAGTCTAAGGGTGCTATGCCCGGTCTAAATCGTCTGTGTGTGAGCAGCTGAACATTGTGTGGGGCATCAGCAGGCTTCAGCTTCTTCAACGTACCTTGGAATTCATTGGGAGTAGCGAGAAGCGATGCGTACAAGGTTCATATGCGGCCTGAGGAATCCTGTGGCTGCCACAGAAGCCCCCGTGACATCGACGGGAAGCCCCGTCGTGGACGGTCCCGCCATGCAGGCCAAGTCTGGGACGTGTGGCCTTCTGTATAGCGCTTGTAGACTGGAGCACACATACAAGATGATACAAGTAAGAGAAATGACGAAGCACAACAAGGTGTTCCCAGGAATGAAACAAGGCTGCTTTGAACAGCGCGGCTACAACGCGAAGCCTTCCAAGCGCTAAAATCCTTGACTGCCCACTGCTCATCTCGTCCACCTAGCGACCTAGCGAACAGACCTCCTTGGGGTGGTCTCGGTGTAGGTGTACAACACATCGTCAATGCAGATGCAGGCAAGCCTCAAAAGTCAACTTGACAAATGCCGTGTTATGAACTGTCCATGCGACGTCTAAATGTCACCCCTTGCTGTCGAAGACATCTGTGGTCTTCCTCATTTCCAAAACATTCCCTCCTTTGAATAGAGAGAGAGAGAGAGAGAGAGAGAGAGAGAGAGAGAGAGAGAGAGAGAGACTGTGAAGGCAACCTAGGTGTGCCGAGGGAATGTCATCACAGTTTTCACACCCCTCCAAAAGCCCCACAAACATCGGGGGGGCCTTTAAGGCCGAGGGGTCTCGCACTCCCCTCATGCCCCGGGGAAGAAGAGACTGTGAGACCGGTGCGCCTTCGGGCGCGGGGAGCGCTTGCGTGCTCCTTTGTCCGATTGCAAGCAAGAGAGAGAGAGAGAGAGAGAGAGAGAGAGAGAGAGAGAGACAGAGAGAGAGAGAGAGAGAGAGACGGTCTCCGCTCAAGTCGACCTCCCGCCGTCCTCCTCGTGAGGTTGGGCGCCGGGGGGGGGGGGGGGCAGAGAGTGGTCTCTGCTTCTCTGGCAGGTGGACGTTCTCCCGGGTGGGGGGAGGCTTGAGTCATTACGTCGCGATGTTTCGCAAGTGCCCGGGGGGCCAGCCGCTACGACAACCCCCGTTTTTTGCCGAGAACCTACCTTTTGCAAGAACTCGTCTACGGCCTGAGGCCGACTTGTCAAACTTTCCGAGCACCACCTCAGTCAGACAACAAAAGGGCCCAGCAGCAAGCGGGAACTTTGCAATTAGTGCCGAGGGACCTTTCTTTTACACCTTTCCTTGAACAACAAAGTGGTGTGCTACAGCGGCTAGCACAAGGCAAGCATGTTTTCCTCTCCCGAGGCACCCGCTTTTCTTGGCCCGGAAAGGGCACCAGCTGAGCCTCTTCGTACAGCCGAGCCCATCCACACAAAATAGTGGATGGGGTAGCGCGCCTGCGCGGGGCGGGAGGACTGCCCCTGCCTCAAACCCCGAGCAAAGCAAAGCAAACACTCTCTCCGGTCTTCCCCTGCAGCTGAAGACCCCAAAGCTCCTTCCACCACTCAGATGGGGAAGGGGGTGCCTTGGCGCGGGTCCACGTCGTGGACCTTTCCCCTGCCAAGCGAAGAGAGAGAGTCCCCATCAAGGTATGGGGTGGGCTTTGAAGCCCGGGGACGCTGACCGGTCCCCAAGCCAAAAAGCGAGCGAGCAGAGAGGCTACAAGGCCAAGCGGAAGGTCGCAGGCAGTGCTACGTGCAGGCCGGAGGTCCAGGTGGGGCTACAGCGAGTCGCACCACTCACCACAGTGACCAGAGTGCCCACTCCAGGAGTCCCCAGAAAGATTTCATGTGCACTTGTCATGGCTTATCCGCAAATTGCAAAACACCTAGGACTTAGGAGTGGCACGCAGCGGGTCACGACTGGCAGGCACCCATTTCAGATTCGTGTTTTTGCCCTCTGAAACCAGAAAGAAGTGGACCAGCTCTGCACCAGCTTCAGGGCAGCGGAAGGTCGCAGGCAGAGTGGGCTTGGAGTTCAGGTTTCTTGTTCGGGATGAAGGCAGGGGCGCGGGTGGAGGCACGCTCTCGATCTATGCCCCTAGCAAGAGAGGGAGACACACAGACACACAGAGAGACACACACACACACTCTCTACTTACTTACTTCCTTACTTACTTGGAGCTGCTTTTCGACGTCAGAAAGAACGTCCGCCCGTTGCTAGTTTTCAAAGGCCCGTCCTCGCGCTCGTGGTTGGCATTTTTTCGAAGCCCTTGAAAGCATCCTTCGAATCCCTCACGCCCTTCACCCGGTTTCAAGCTAGCGCATCGTAGTGCGGCATGCTGCAGATGAGGGCAGGGTCGGGCAGGGGTTGTTTGCGTCGGGGGAGTCTTGCGTGGGCAAGGGCACGGGAGGTGGGGGATGGTAGGGGGTGCCGTTCCAGTTTCCCAGCTGTCTCGGGTTCGCGGTATGCACTTATCCGATTGGTTGCTCGCCTTTGGTGGCATCTGTTTTGCCACAGGTGACAGATGGATCGGGAAGACTGGGAAACAATTTAGCATTCATTCTTCGAGCCTAGGCAGCAGCAGCTTTGAATGGAAGCATCCACAATCTCTTGTATCTTTGCTCTTGCTGTTGCTGCCGTTCAGCCCGGACATCGAACTGAGGTGGACTGTTGTTTGCCAAGCTCACAAACCATGCAGTCGTGAATTTGAAGTTGGACACCAAGTCGTTGAGGGAGATATTCGACGGCAAGGCGACTGCATATTGCGCAGCTCCGCCAGAATCGGGCCAGCCTGCTGTTCGGCAGGCGGTTTTGCCTCTGGGCAGCTCCAAAGTGGAGGGATCCCGTTTCTGCCCTGAGAAGTCGGCAAGCTCAGAGCTCGTCGCTTCAAGGATCTTGAGAGCTGTCGGAGCGTGGCTTCACAGTTTCTGGGGAGCGTGCTGGAGCCGCCCCCTCCAAACTGCAAGGCCTACTTGTAGTGAGTATGATGTGGATCGGTCCACGCCCGGTAGGCTAATGTAGGGCATGTGGCTCTTGTGAGCTTCCGGGACCTGCATTCAGTTTCTTCACCTGCATGGATGGGCAGTGGAATGCATCCAGGTCGGACAAGCGCCAGTTGGGAAGACCTGTCTACAACTTCCAGGCTGATCTGCGAGCTATAACATGATGGGAGAAGGGCGCCAGCTACGCTGGCGGACCCTGAGCCCTAAATCCTAAACCGCATCGTGCACACTCCACCCCATACCGCAAGGGTGAAAGATGCAAAGGAGCCAAAGCACAGGCTGGTTTCCATTAGCCCGAGAACCTGGTGCGCAGACGCGGCCACGCATCGCAGGACTACCGGACCATGGCGCTCGAGCATTTGCAGCAAGCACGCTGCTGAGTTGAAGACAAGGTGCTCAAAGGCAATCAAAGGCTCATAAGTTCGGCAATGCATGTTCCGACGAAGCCTCCGTGAGACTGTAAGGCTTTTCTCCCTGAGTTCCGGCATTGTCGGCTGCCCACTCTCCAGTTAAACGTCACTCAAAAGACACAGCACTTCGAGAAGTCCTAGGTCTCGAGCGCTTCAGCCCTGAAGAGTCAGCCAAGGCAGGGACCAGGGAGAAGCCTCTCCCAGAGCGCCCCCCCCCCTTTTAGTGCAGGAGTTAACCATTCACCTGCGTGGCCAGGCCAGGACGTTGTCAAAGCCTTGTGCCGTCGAGTGAGATTCTGATTTGCAGAGGACCTTTGGGGCCTCGCCGAGCACGAGCTCACGTCTGACAAGCCCATACCAATGGAGGCCGCCAGTCGAAGCCCTTGAGGTCCTTGAGCGGCAAACCGCTTAGAAGAAACTTCACAGTTTTGGCGGCCTTGCTGCTGCAATCCGGCTCAGAAGACGCATAAAGGAGCACGAGTGCGGTGGTGTTCTTGCATCTTGCCTCTTGACGTCATGGAGGGTGCAAGGTGGGGCCGGTCTGGATTCTAGATCCTCTGGGCCTCTGGGATTCAAGCAACATTGAGCAGGTCATGCATCACTGTGTGTAGCCGGAATACATCACACAAGAAAACATGCAAGGAGACACGCTCAGCCACAAACCTCCACACATGCTGGCTCGTGCAGACGCTAGAAGACAGTCGCACGGCATTCACCTACACCCATGGTGACATCTACACAACCGACGCACCTGCTACCCCACCCAGCACAACAGACGCACAGACAGGCTTGAAACGGCCACCGAAAATACGAGATTACCGCAAGCTTGGACACACAAGCACATACACACACACACATACGCATACGAATGCGCATGCGCGTACACATACACGTACACGCATACACGTCGCATACACAGACATATACACATCCATACACTCACGCACATTGACACACCGACACATTTTCTCAAATAATAGTTGCACTAATGGTTGGCAATGAAACAGGAAGAGGTTGTTGGTGATGAGAGTTTGATGAAACTAAGATGACATGATATTTTGGTACCATGTATGCCAGACCAACGAAATAGCATACAACACCTAACCACAATGAAATGATCTGTAAGGGGTATGGTTTCGGCCCCTTGGCACGACACGGAGATGAACATGAAGATGAAAGCCCCGCCAGCCTCCCGCTCAAGGCCAAGGCGCATACGATGCAGGTACGTTTCCCTGAGGTCTACGGGAGAGCTTCGGTGGACGGAGCTCCCCTACACCCCTTCCGTGCATAAGAAATGAACATGGAAAGGAATAGGGGTCACTTGCCCCCCTCGGCCCATGAACGAGGATAACGAGGGCAGTACACACACACACATAATTATATATATATATATATATGCATATATATATATATATATATACATACACTCACACGCAGAGAGACAGACAAAGATGAAGACACACGCACACAGAGACAGGCAGGAAGACAAACAAGCACATATACACGCGCACAAACACAAAAACCCACAAGCACACAGACAGACAGACAGACAGATGGACAAGCCGACCGACCGACAGACAGACAGACAGACACACAGACACACACTCTCACACACAGACACACACACACAGACACACACACACACACACACGCACACACAGACACACACACACACAGACACACACACACACACACACAGAGACACACAGACACACACACACACACACAGAGACACACACACACAGAGACACACACACACAGACACACACACACACAGACACAGACACACACAGACACACACAGACACACACACAGACACACACAGACACACACAGACACCACAAACACACACAGACACACACACACACACTTACTTGACACAATGTGTCACAGGTCTCAAAGTCAGCGCAAAGAAGTCAGCTCGAAGAATTCAAGACAGACAACACAAAACATGCAAACTGCACTCTAACGTTGGTTACTCCAGTGCCTCAGGGGGCCCACTGGCTAATCCGAAAGCAGGTACGCAGTGGTGATCAGCCACTGCATGCACTCCAGTGATTTGGCTTCGTTGGGCCACAGTCCGTTGCATTTGCAATCACGCGCAAATGCAACGTGTCGTGAGTCATCTTAGTCCGTACTAGTAACACGGATCAAAGGAATTCCAGGCTGAGAACTTGAATGACGAAAGATTGAATAGAAAAGGTAAGCTTATTATTACACAGGGATTCTGAGTTTAGCCCCGTGCTGATTCAAATCGCACGCATGCCGGGTTGATCATACCTTGTCTGTCGAGGCTAATGCGCATCATTGGCTTTGGCACCAGCCGCCGGCACCTGAGATTGGCCCGTCTTGCGGACTACCAGTAGCCTGATCCCCGAACTCGCCGTTTGCATAGCAAGATAGGAAGCATGCATGACATGAGCAAGTATTGTGCAGTTCTCGTGGCTCGCATCGTAGGCCCTGCACGATGTACCGAAAAATCATCGCTGGGAGCTCGTGTTTTTAATGGGTGTCAGCAGCGGAAGCGATTCATTCAAATCCAGTGTGAGCCTAGGTAGAAGAGGGCCCCTTGGACACGGCGTTGGTTTTGGGGTCTTTTTTGTTCAGACCTGCGTCACTGGTGCTGCCGACCTTACCGACATCGCTTGACAAAGCGAAGGTTTCACCAAAGTGCTCGTGGTTACAAGCCCGGACCTGCGCCCTGGTCCTCAATCAGAGACATCTGGGCCTAGGCGGTTCTTGGACTACTGTACCGTACGCCTATGTCAGACAGAAGAGTGGGAAAGCTCGAGTGCTGTGACCTGCTTGAACTTGCATATTTCCGCATGTGGCCTGTGAGGAGACATGTCTGCATCGAATGGCTGAAGTCCAACGCCGTCAACCTGGGCATCGAGGTGACGTGACGGTTTGGAAACCTGTTCTGATTGCCTGTGCTGAAGTGGCGACAGCTGGAGTTCGGACGATTCGCAACAGCTGATACCGGCATGCCAGGTGATTGTACAGGCTCAAAGCTTGCGAGAGGCGAGAAGCATGCGAGATCATGCGAGTGACGCAATGGTCAGGGATTTCAGAATAGCTAGCTATTGAGCAATGTGCTGCAGTTGCTGGTGTGATGAGTGGCATGTGACTGTGCTGGAACTCTTGTGAGCACGCCCTGCGAGATCTCGAAAGCAGGGGGGATCGGAATCGTTTGCTCTTGGGCCCTCGGGTTTGTATCTTTCGATCCGTCCTTGTGCGTGCCACCTCACCTGTCGCACACGTCGATTCGCGTTTCCACGCGCCCCATCTGAGCTTGCACCACTCTCGAAAGGTGTACACGAAAAGCCTGGCAGAGTCGACGGCCACAAAGTGCGTGCAGTTACGCAGTAACTATCACGGCTGGCAGAACAGACTTGACTAGCTGGTGCCCTAAAGGATTGCGAATGCCAGCCGTGGCCAGGCGCAAACCTTGGAAGAGGTAACTATAGAGCCTTGATTAGCTGCAGCTGCACCGCGACCTCAGCAACACAGCAGAATCAGCAGTGCACATGAACAACTCCAGCAGCCTGCCACGCACTGCTGCAAAAGGGCGTCGGCCCAGTACGTCGGTTGAGCGGTTGGGTGACGAAGGGCACCCGCAGCCGCACTCTATCCCAACATGCAAGCTTGTTTCGGGGCGTCGCCCGCCTGCACTGTAAAAGCTGCATGTGTGCGCTTCCACAGAGTTTCCCCAATGCCTTCCAGCCGCAGCGTTCCCACGCCCTTGCCGAGTTTTGGCATTCGAGCCATACCATGCCTTGGAAAACAGTGCGGGGCCTGGTGTCTTGCTGTGGCGACCGTGTGACAAGGCTGCTGCGAATGGACACTGGTTGATCTTGCTTGCCCTTCCGAAATGTCGAGAGGGTGTGAGAATGATTGACAATGTGCGGATGACTGCAGAAGTTGAGCCTTTGCGAAAAGCATGACCTGCTGTGCATTCCAGCATGAGTGGAATAATTAAGTTTCATCCTTCGGGTTTAGCTGCAGTTACAGCAGTGATCGAACGTCTACTCGCTGTGTAGTTCGGCGTCTTACGCAAGATGCGATTATCGCGATTAGCAGAAGAGAGGAATCTGTGTGCACCCTGGACGGGCTGAACATCGGATTGAGCAACAGACCCTTGTACAGCTGGAGGATTTCTGCGCTTTGGCGCGAGCTTCTAACCTAGCTCTGCGCTTGGCAGTAACGGACATACAAGATAGATGTGGACGCACATGTGATGAGCAATCGCAAGAGGGTTGGCTCCCACGATGCCACTCAGGTCCTTTCTTTCTCTACCTTGGGAGACAACGCAGCAGTGATGCTTGGTTGCCATTTTTTGCATGAACCACCCCCATTTCTACCGCACCCAACGGCATCCCACTTTGCAACAATTTGACGGCAACCCTGCCCTGCGAGACTCTTGCGAAAGTCGGCAAGGCTGAACCAGAGACTGAAGAAGCTATTCTTCCGGGAGTTTGCACAGACGCAACTCGCTGCAAGACATCACTTTGATGTTTCATGCACCTCCTCTGTGTGTGTGTGTGTGCGTAAAGTGCTCGCAGACAGTGCTAAGGCACTCCTTGTTGGATTGCGAGTCATCCTGGCGAAAGTTGCAGTTGCACTGTAACTAACATTCACACCTTTTCTTGACATGTTGATCGTGACAGTCTTTGGCCGGGCACAACGCTCTACCAGTACAACATGCCGATCAACGAAGGCTGCAGTCAAGAGACGATGCTTGACCGTCGAAGCGGCGATTTGGTGTCTGACGGCAAGCCACCTTATCTGCATCGCTGACAGGAAGCCATCAGCCGTATGGCAACACCTACCGAGACGCTGACACTGAGAAATCATAGCCTGGTTGAAAGGTTTTAGCCGCGTTGCCTGTCGCATATAATGCACAGCTGCAGGTGATTCAGTGGTTCACTGGCTACGACGAGAAGCAGATTAGCAAGCACATGGGGTGCAACGGCTGACTGCAGCGACATGCGGGTTGAAAAGGAGGCAGAATGCCACTGAATGGTGAGGGCATGTCGCATCTCTGAGTTGGCACCGTGCACAGGCAAGTCAATGCTCAGAGTGCAGACCCAGGAAGCCACTTGTAAAATGGTTCCCTTTCTGGCATGTGTTCGTGGATGCTGTTCGTGTTGCACTGCCGCACACGCAGAGCATTCTCAACCGTGCTGCGGCATGCTGTAGCAACACTGTAACTAGATCCTATTGCGTGCATCTCTGTCGTAACCCAGCTTGTTTGGCACAAGCCGGCCGTTTGGCAAGCATTTTTGTCTTTGGAACAGACTTGCACGATCCGGGCCCGGTGGCTAGCTTCAACACCAATTTTAGCGATGTTCATGATTCATGAGTTGACGGTTGACCGGGTTGCACTCCTGAGCCCGAAGCCCTGTGCACATGTTACCCCACAGTAGGCTGGAGTTGCTTTACCTGGCTTCTTTCGCGTCTTCAGCGCTAATATCTACATTAACACACACAATTATCGATTCATGCCCCTTCTTGGTGCTGACATGACGCTCTGCCGTGAATGAGGCAGTTTTGTCCGATGTTTTCAGTGCCAATCCATACGGCAAGCTTGAGAAATCCGCAGTGGTCTTGCCCTCCATCACACCGTCGGACCGTAAGATAAACATAGACTCGGCGTTCTGCGCATGTCTGCCTCTTGTCCACAGGTTCGAGTGGTGGTTGTGGCTGGTGCAAAGCCATGCCAGCCATGCCCAGCCAGAGACGATGGTCACGGAGGCCTGTCTCGAGCCAGCTCCGGTTGATGGAGCAGTCGGAAATCACTGAAAAAATCGGTGCCCGCTGAAGGTGTGAAACTAGCAGGCAACATTTCTGAAGACAGGACATGCTTGTTAATTTTAACGCTACGCCGCCCGCCTCGGCTGTGTAGTTGTTCATACCAAGTGCAACGGGGGCAAGGGGGGGTGGACGGGGGGGCGAAGGGGGGGAGGGGGGGAGGGGGCAGGGGGTGAGAGGGGGGGCGAGGGCGGGGGGGGGGCGAGGGAGGGGGGAGGGGGGCCGACAAATCAGGTAAAATGAAGGGAAGCCGGACAAGGGGGTGGCAAACGAACGCAAAAAACGGGTGTCTCGAAAGGAGGAGGATTAGGTGGAGGGTACCTGATAACCATCAAGACGCCTGGGCCTCTGGCCAGGGCGGATTGACCACAGTCGGGCCGCGAAAAGCACTTGCTTGCATCCCAGCATAAGCACAAAAACATTCAGCCCAGGGATGCCCATGGAAAGATAAGTTTGCAGTCTACATTGCAATACTCCCCATGCCAGCAACCGAGAATGCGCAGGTGACATGGGAAGGGCCGCGGGACGTTGTCTTTAGCATGGAGGATGTGAGGCCGATGGGACTCGATGACATTGCGTCAGTTCTACCAGCTGCAGGACAGCTGTGGACAGCCTCAACTGAAGCATAGCTACTCAAACGATGTTTAGGACCATTCCGATGGACGGAAGATGCCGATGCTCCAGACCACTTTGTCGTTGAGATGATGCAGATGCTCCAGCCCTTACCTTGACTTGTGAGTCAGAATATATGTGGATTGGGCCAGAATCTTTTTGTGATGGTTTCGGACACCTGTCACGAGGCCTGCCTTCAGGGAGAAGTTGGTGCCACTCTTGGAGTCGCGGTTTCTCGGCTCCAGCCATCCCTGTGAGAAGGATTGCGCACCCGGAGGGGTAGGCGCGGTTTTTACAGTCGGCCCGAGACTTGCCGTGCAGGACGTTGCAACACATTGTCCTCGCCATAAGACGCATTTTCCTTTGCATTGCTTAGGCCCTGCTCTTGGTCTCTCTGTGTAGAGGGGATCAGACAATCAGACAGACACTCAGCTCCGAGGCCTCCATGAGCAGCACGTGACCTCGGCCTGTGTGAAGGAAGTGCAGCACGCCGTGCCTCAACCTCAGTTATGGCTCATGGCCCCGCTTGGTGACACCCGGGTGCGGGCTTTGCGGTGCGTCCAAGACTGGGTTGCCGCACTCGGACACGACACGACCGGGCAAACCTTCGTAGCAGTCCGTTAGGATGTGTGAGATTGTGTGAGGGTGTCGAGCTGTGCCATTATGCGGGGTTTTCAGACTTCAAAGCGACACGTGAAATTTTTAGATATCACGTCGCTTGGCTGGCAAATATGAGAAACGCCGTGAACTTGTCTGCATGGCAGCCGTGCCATCTGCATCCGCACTTCTAATATTTCAACATGCCTCGGGTGGGGGTCAAAACCGGGACTACAGGCCAGTCCTAGTTCCACTCAGTGTGGCGTCTCGAAGATTCTCCAAGGCCGTTCGTTTGCAGCAGAGAGGTTCACCAGTTCTGCAGTCACCACTCGCGAGGCTCAAGTCCACAAACTTCCCAAACTCAAACTGGAGAAATGCAAGCAGTGCAGGCCGGGCAGGCTTGCTCAGCTGTTTGGAGGAGCACGGGGTTCACCTCACCGGCAGATGCGTGGCAGCCTCAGCGCCTTAATTGAGCAGGGCCTCAGGCTTGAATCTGCTTGCAGGCTGACGCCGTGGTGGGCTCCCGAGAGCTTGGGCAGCACCAACAGAGTGTCTCCGGATCATGCTAGCTGCTAGGTGGCAGCTCGTCATGCGTTGGCAAGCCTGGAGTGGTCGCACAAACGGGTGGGAAACTCAGCGCTCGCTGCACAGTTCGGTGCCAGTATTAGTATTGGTCCACATCTGCTTTCCAGAAGCTTCGGTGCTTTGTCTCTCACATTTGTATCAAGGCCTGCAGGCCTACACCATTTGAAGTCTGCAACTCGAGTGTCTACACTGCAGGAGTCCATCGAACTCCTTTACGCTGTTCAGGAGCAAAAAAGCCCAGTCTTCAAGAAGCTAACAACCAAACCTACGTCACAATCTATGTCGCATCTTTAGACACAAACTTTGCCGTTTTGCTTTATGGCGTTTTGTGGCAGATCGGGAGATCCCTTCCGAGCTGCTCGCTGCAGTTTGGCGTCGGATGCGCTTTCAGCACAAAGATCACCGGGCTGTCTCCGGCAAGAGTCCCGACATCTCAGCTCACCTTCTTGGTCAACGGTTGGAGGAACAACATTGCTCGGAGTGCTTGGTTTCCGGCCAACGAGGCACTCCAGAATTGCCCGGCGGTTTGGCAGACGAAGGGACTGGCTGGGAAGCTCTCTTCGCGCCGCCGGCATCGCGGCGCTGTTGATGCTTTCCATCAGCTTGGCCGATGTTAGCTCTGCCACTGACAAAAGCTCCTTTGAAGAGACGGTCGTTTCCACGAACCCCGTCGCAATGACAGGTAGCCAGACACCGACCCCAGCCCCGACAGGCCCGAAGAGTCTCTTCGGACCCTTCTTGGACAGGTGGGCCACGGTCACAGTCGATAGCGACACGGAGAACGAGTATTGGGAGCTCGGTCCGTTCCGCTTCCTCCGGAAGGAGACATCGGTGCTGGAGGTCGTCATCAGCGGATTCCTTGCTGGGTTCCTTGTGGAACTGAGCAACGCGCTTCTACTCCACCCGCTGGATACCCTAAAAACGCGACTTCAGACAGGCCAGAGCCTTCTCCCTCCAGACCCTTCTCTTCTGTACGAGCGACTGTACGATGGCTTTATTCCAGTTCTGGCGACTGTTCCAGCGCTCTCAGTGTTTTGGGCAGTGAAGGATGTCGTCCGAAGGAGCCTGATAGGGATGGTCAAAGCAACATTGCCTCTGCCCGCGGCTGATATCTTGTCTTCAACTTTGGCATCGGCATGTGGAGAAGCTGCATATGTGGCGGTGAAGACACCCGGGCAGGTCTTAAAGATCGAACAGCAGACAGCAGTCTTCGATGAGGACCGACTGCGTCAGCGCTACTCCGAGCAAGACTTGTCCTACACCTCCAAGACCTTTCTCTGGGACTTTGGCCGCCTGTGGGAGGCGCAGTGGGTGCCGGGCCGTGGGTGCCACATGGGTGCCACGTTGCTTTGAAGATCTCTTTGAGTCTCCTGTTCTTTCTCTTGTCCCTGCAGGAGAGTTTAAGGAGCTTTCCCATCCTTTGCGCCGTGGACGTCCCGCAAGTAGCACTGCGGACAGCGCTCTTCGTGAGTCTCCACGACTCCGGCTCCTTCCCTTCCGGTGCTGGGTCGGAGACTTGCTTGCAGCAGAAGTTTTGGGAGAGAGATGTGAACAAGATGGGGAGGCGAGTCAGCACAAGCAGGACCTTGTTGCTGCTACCTGAGGACATTCTCGCCTTCACCATGGCTTCTGCAATCGCCTCCGTTGTGTTCCTTGCCTGCAATTTGTGTTGATGGCACCTGCGCGTTCAGGCCGTGATGCTCTCCCAAAGTCATGCTATGTTTGCGTAATTTGGCAAGGAATCTGTTGCTCAACTCAGTTTGTCCGTTGGTTTTTTCAGATCTCCAGAATCTAGAGTGCATTCAGTAATACAACATATGCATGTGAGTGTGTATGTTCTCGCAGTTTTATACTCTTCAACCTCTGTAGTTGAATTTCAAGCAGATTCTTTCTGGAAACATACTCCAATTCTGTAGGCTGGCCTTTGACCCTTGCTTTTCCCCATCCATCTCAATGCTCACCAGTATTCCGGACATCGAAGAATGATTTAGCTGCTTGGATCATTGGGATCAAAGGTTGTGAGGCACCTCACATCCTTTTTTGCGCAGAAATTCACCGAATGATGTCCAGCAGAGCCATGATGCGAGCAAAAGCACGCAGCTTGTCTCCATGCCTCAGTCAGCTGTCTGCCTGTGCTTGTCCGTATAGGCATGTCTGTGTACTTTGAAGGCGCCTTTGTGTCTCAGACAGTGTCCGACATGCTGACTTTCTGCACACGGCTGCGGTGAGAGTCGCTGCAAGGACAACAGGAGTAGATTCAGCTCTCCGTGAGCATCGAACGGAATTCCTGACTTTGGTTGCGGATGTATCGAGTCAGCTTTCAAATCCAAAAGGTGCACGCCGCTGGATGTTGCTCGCACTCAACTGGTCCTGGGTGGAAAAGGCAGGGGTCACCGCAGCCGGCAGCATCCAGCAGCTCAACAAACTGTGGAACAGTGCGAGGCATCCAGCGCCTGCCATCCACGCTCTGGGACATCCACGACCGCCAGGGTGTTGCTGGACTGCTTGCGGGCTGGCTTCCGCGGCTCCTTTGGAACGGCCTCATTGCGGGCACCCCAGTCTCCAAGTCAGACCTTTCTGCAGCGACGCGTCGGTTGCCAAGGTGGGAGCTGTTCTTGGACTTTGCAGGCACGATTTGTGCTGCTGTCTGAGCGATTTGTGCACTTCAATGTCTGCGTCACCTTCAGAGGATCAGGTCGACTAGGTCGAGTCTGTTGACCTGCCAGGCTGCAGTACGAGGACGCCCGTGCCATTTTCTTAGTGGACGTTCTCGATCGCTTCGAGAACGTCGTGCAGCCAACGACTGCACTCTCGTAAAGAGACTACGGAATGCCTAATGCTGAGCTTCGGATGCTGAGTGGATCTCAGTGGTAGAAACTCACTGATGTCCATTTCAGCGCGCTGGCATGCCCGCGTCGTAGATTTTCCTTTCCATTCCAGAAGTTCCCAGGGCACCTATCACAACCGTTTTTTGCTCAATTCGACACTCTTGCAAGCTTGCAAGGAGCATGCTGAGCATGTTGGCCGGCCAAGGGTCAAGACACGCTGTAACTGCAGGGCCTTTCCATGCAAGCGCGGTACGTACAGAAAGAGCCGCGAAGGTGACCTTGTGCATAACTCTTGTAAACAGCCTGCTTTGTGGAATCTCTCGCACCTGTCGGGTCCACGACCCTGCACTCAGAGTGCAATCTGCTTGCGAAGATTCTGCAGCTTGTAACTTCGCTGAAAAAGCATGCTCGGAAAGGGTGCAAACCAGCGACTTGATTTCAACGCACAAGACTGGACAGGGCTAGTCGCCCATGCGCATTACTGAGACTGATCTGATTGAGGCGGCTGCGGCTGGTCATCACAAGGCCGCTTGGAAATGCCATCCATGCGGACCATGCACTGCACATGCCGACCCTTAGCAGTTGAAGGATTGCAAGACAGATTACCCAGACGTTTTCAACTAAGCTAGGGATTAAGCTCTCACGAGCTTGGAAGAAGTTTGGTGAACTCCTGACCTCAAAAATGCCGCGGCCTGCACCCGCACCACACCCCAAGACTACAATGAACTGGTTGAGGCAGCAAGCATCATTAAACGATGAATCGCGGGTTCACACCGTAACTTACAACTCACTTTCAGTCTTCGATCCAGACATTAAATCAGATATCGGAATCCCCGACAGCAAGATTTTCGGCATGCGTAGATCTTGCCCTCAAGAGTTGACGGTGTTTTATGCGGAGCCCTTGTCGGTCTGCTTGTCCTAATGTACAGCGGTGAGGAACAGAGCCGGAGTTGTCTGCAGGCTGCCCTTAAATCATCGCGGTGAAGCTCAGGTGTGTGGGTGTGTGTATAGCATGCCGCTCAAGGTACTCGATCACGCAGGTCATCCAGCGCATCATTCACATCCCCACGGCCACAACAGCCACAACCATGCGGCTGGTGACCGTTGCCTTCCCGGTTGGGACGGCCCCAAGGCCGCAAGCTTCTTGGAATCTCCCGCCGATTGCGCCTCTCTGTGTTCCGGAGAGGCTGCTGGGTGTTGCATACGACGCTGGTCGCCACATTGTGGTCTCTCCTGCAGCAGCTCGGGTCAGCAATGGTCAGCATCTGGGGCTTCTTGTGGCGAAGAAAGGGCGCGAGATGGCAGCGAGGGAAGGGCGCGAATCGACAAACAACATGTAAGCTAGAAACGCTGCCCTGCCGTGACAGAAATGAGGAATCGGCTCCCCTTCCGACAATCCTATCGCTCCTGCTACCCTTTCATAAACCATGTTGTGTCTGTCGACATGCACGATGATCAAATGCGGTCGTTAGGATGGCACTTGATGGAATGTTGTGAGATTCGATTGTGCATCCGAGGTGTTTCAGAGTGCAACGCCGATCGTGGATGGGAGTTCAGGTGCGTGCAGGAATGCAGGATGTCTACTGAGTCTACTTTGGAGACTGGGCTGAGCCACTTTCGAAGGCAAGTTGCAGATCGAGTGGGCTAGCGGCTAGACGGGACCGGCCATGTCTGTGTATGTATATCTATGTAACACAAATCCAGCATCTAATTATATCTGTATACATACGAGCACTTGCATATACATATATGAGCATGTTTTCAGTTATACACGTATATATACAGACAATATACACACATACATCCATCCACCCACCCATACATGCTTACATGCATACATACATCATACATGCCTGTGAACATTCGTGTGACGCTCGTCCAGACCTCCGACGGTGCTGCGCAGGTGGGCCGACTTCAGGACTCATCCTTACATCTGCTGCCCGAAGGCATGGCACTTGCAGAAGCCTGTGTCATTAGTCTTCTGATCCAACCCCATGCGTGCAAGCAGGTCGCACGCCGTTCAGAATACCTGGGTGGGCAGAAGATCTGCCCCGAAGGCAAGCCCACGAGCCAGCGTGCTTCAAATTCGGCTTAAATCTCTGGCTCTATTGCAGGCTGGAAGGTGGAAGAGCACGGCCTTTACCCCAGCTGCCAGTATCAAGGGAATCTCAACAGCATTCTCCAACAGCCGCGGTCCATTGCACAAGTAAGCGAACAAGCATGCTGTGGAGAGTGACGCGGCCGAATTTCGAACTGACAGAACTCATACAGTGTGGGGTGGGGCGTCATTTCGGGCCGTTGTGTGTGCGGAGGGCCTCAGACATCTCACAGCTGACAACACAACTCGCAATCCGCACATGACAATACGTTGGAGTGTTGACATCTCACGTGTTCGCGAACACGTGTTCTGTCATCACCATTACCATTGATAATCGTAGAGTTTGGTGTCGCGGTACTAGTGTTGTTTCCTGAATGCTTCTGCTGTTGACACAGACCCGTTCGACAGTCTTCTGCAGAGGGACAGCCAAGTTAGCCGCACGAAGAAGGTAGAACCCGATCTGCAAGCGCGCACATCGATTCACACCTGTCCCACAGTCTGGAGACTGGCCACAAAAGCCAGCCGGCACTTGAAAAAAACAGCTGTTACGACATGTTTCGGCGTAGTTCTGAGCTATGGCGTAGCATTTTGAGGCTGTTTTGCAGCCAGGGTCGGGGTCAAAACTACCGGAGGCCCCGAAGACCCTTTCCATGTCTGGAGTAGCATGCACAACACGTGACCACGCAATAAGCGAAAGCGACAGATCGCAGAATGCTTTCGATGGGCAGTGCGCCTGCGACTTCTCAGATGTGCTGCGCAAAGGTCATGGCCACTGTTGCCGAAAGCCCTGGACATGGGTCCATGCCGAAGTCGCATGCAGCCATGCAGCACGCTGCGTCATTTCGTTGTTTTCGTAAGGATTGTGGCGAACACTGTGCGCACGAGCAGTGCAAAGACAGTCCCTGTCTCAGGTTCTGCTGGTGTCACGATACAGTCAAAAAGGTGATAACTAGTTCTCCAGAGCTTTGGCAAACTTTGGCGCTTTGGTCCGAGACATTGCTCTGGCCTGGCATCCTGTTGATGACAAGACCGAGGAGTACAAGTCCGGCCCTCATGTCCAGGCTCGACACAGGCCTAATCAACGTGTGCTTTCAGTAAGAGACTGCCCAATTCTGGCCAATGTGGGAGTTGAGGCAATTTTTGAGACCAAGGTCTTTTCACAGGGTCACATGGCACAAGCCTCGCTACAAGTGCTCAGGTGTTGTCCAGAGATGCCGGCAGGGATCAAAGTGGAAGGAAGCTTTGAGAAGGTCGAAGAGGCAGCCGGGAGCTCAAACCAGGAAAAACATGTCCGATGGCATCTTTCGTCTTTGATCACGTTGCCATCTTTTTGAAACCCCAAAACCTTGAGCACAGCTGACCCTGCACATGTGCATCCAGACAGGTGGCAGACAGTAGAGTCAGTAGAGGCTCTCTCGCCGGATTTGAGCCTCACCTTCCGCGGTTCTCTGCTGCTACTAAGCCCATGTCGAAAGACCCATGACAGCCAAATACAGCCAAGCCCAGTCCAGTCACATTTAGCAATGGGAATGAGGTAAAGCGCGGTGATGCCGCACTGTCTGAGATTGACGCCATGGGCTCTTCTTGGGTTGCCAGGTGCCAGATGCGTGCGTTTAATTTGCCAAGCATGTAGCATCGCCAAGCTCGTGAGTATGAAACCTGTCGTTCCTGCGGGAGGCCCCTGGACTTGTCCACCCTGACACGCGTGCAGGTTACAGCCGTTGGCGGAGGCATCTGCTCATGGAACTACTGGTAGCCATCAGCAGCCTTGCTTAAACCACTTGCCAGTCCTTGCCACGGTCTTGATGGTCCTGCACCGGCACCGAGCATTCCACTTCGAAGCGTGGGGTGAAGGGTGACCGTGAGACCCGTGCTGCTGCACGAGGTGTATCTGCAGCAGCCAGAGGGTATCGCCGAAGCGTACGCATGAGCACAAGGTGGCCAGCTTGACAAACCTTAGCCAGCATGTTCCGAAGCATGATGGGCGTGGGAATTACCAGCAGTCTGTTGATGTGACCTGGCGAGGACCATTGACAGAGAGTCGCCGCACAAGATGCCGTACACATGAAGCGAGCTGGAGCTCTCCATCTCTCTCTCTCTCTCTGCCACGCTCTGGCCTTCACATGCTTGAACAGATGGCTTGGACAGCTCTAGAGTGCACCTGAAGAAACCTTGACTGACTTCCGATGCATTGTCTTCTTCCGCAGTGTTGGCTTTTATGGCACCAGCCTTAGCCTGGGCCGTGTGACGCTCCGCGGACTCCGCGGCGGGGGAGCCGCTCCGAGCTTGGCCGTGTGCCCAGAGAGACGCGAGAAAAGCCGGGAGCATTTGTGACTCAAACATTTCTTGAGGCTCGGAGAGACATCCCATGTATTCCACACAGAACTACGAGCAGCCGTCACGCCGTCTCTGTTTTTTGGGTTTAAGATGGTGCTCATGAGTGTGTTTTGACCAGAGATGAGTTGGCGTTTGGCGGCCAGGCAGACGCAGCCTGCTGGCCCACCGTATGCATATCAGGGCTACCAGGGCAGCCACCAAGGGCATTATCAGGGCCCGTACCAAGGTCCACCGGCTGGGCCCCAAGCAGCTAGGACAGCTTCCGCTTGATTGGCAAAGTAAAGGAACTGGAGTTTCAGCTGTGGAGCCACAGGCCGGACACGCTGCTCCTCCGGGGCCTTATGGTGGCTATGGGCAAGTAGGCCCAAGCCCAAGCAAGCCCCTCACATCAGCTTGAGTTCTGCTTTTCTCATCTCGGCTCTGCAGGCAACATGCCACATGCTCAAGGTCAGCCCGGGGCCCAGCAGGCGCAGCCGCAGAAAGGCGCCCTGGGCTTCGCCATGAACCCGGACTGGTGCGCCCTTGCCTGCTTTCGGAATCCAAGCTCGAATGTCGGCATTGCAACATGGCAAGATTCTTGACAATTGCCATTTCAAGGTTGTGCATCTCCTCTTGGGATCCACCCGTTAAATGTCATGGAATTGGAGAGCAATTCATTCACTGGTTTACAGATTTACCGTCCACAAGATAGTTCTTGTCGATGGCCGTTAATCCTCATAATCATAGACCCCCCTCTCGCTTCAGAGATCCCCTGGAGAGAATGTCCTGCTCCTGCCAGGAGCCAATATTTTTTTGCAGCGTCGTGCTCAATCATGCTCCGAGCTCAGCGGCCAGTCGCGCCTTCTCCAGTCCGGTCCGGTGCGCCGCGGTGCGCCTCGCTTGCGAAATGAAGCCGCGAAGCGAAGGCTCGGATCCTTCATCGGCGGCCTTTGCCTCTTCTTCTCTTTCGAGAGCTCGCCTCAGTCTGCCTTGGAAGCGTTTCTCTTAAATTTTATCTGTGCTTCAGGCTGGTGGACTTCCTGGAAACCTGCTATCTCATGCTTTTCGGGGGCCGGGCGCCGGCAAGTCAACTATTGCGACTCTGAGTCCACCGGTGATCCGAGGCGTCCTTGCCTTGATGGACACCCCGTGCTTCAAAACCATGAAAACAGCCCCAAGCCCAGCCTGGCTTCAGGGCTTGCCACGCTGCTTCGTCGAAAGTTGCTCGTTGCACTCCTTGCACTCCTTGCACTTGTGCAAGTTGGCCAGGTAAAGGATCACCGTGAGTACTTCTCGAAGTACATCGGCATCCTCACACGAGTGACAGGCGTCGTCAAGCTTGAGTACTTTTGAAAGGAGTCGCTGCGCATACGAGGTAAGGGCATCGCCTTCTTGTTCCTGGGCTGCTCGCTCTTCTCTACTCTGTGGGATAATCTCGTGCCCTGCTTGCATCCGGACAGCAGTTTGATGGGTTGCAAGTTCCGGAATGGAGGAGAGCACCTTCATGAAGTTTTTGGCGTTCGTCCTTTGTGTGTTGCCCATGCTGGTTGGCGTCTGGCACCCAGTGCTTGACAGCGCATTGGGTTGCACCGTGTCCAGCTGAGCTGATGCCGCCTCGGCTTGATCAATTGATCAACGGACATCTCGTAGCTTGCAGCAGTTCACGTCGAGTTAGCCTTCAAAGTCTGAGGTTGCAGCCTTGGTCATCGGCTTCATCAAAAGCCAAAAGCTCAACAAAGCTCGCGAAGCACTTGCGAGCCAGGCTCTGCACGGAGACAAGCTATATCCGAAGTAGACCGCGTCTCCAAGATCCTTTCGCCGTGCAGATAAGTGACAGCATCGGCACCCTGTATGACCAGTACGCTAGAACATATCCTGGTTTGCACGTCGCCAGCCCAGTGGGAGGGTGGGATCTAGTGCAAAAGCTTTGTAACGTCAAGAGACCCAAGCAAAGTCATGTCCCGGTAGCCGAGGGTGGTCTGACGATGGTGGAGTTTGGCGACCTGACCGACAAACTTGCAGGCTTCAAGTGGGAAGGCCCCAGCTTGCAAAAGATGCGAGACCGCCGCCTGAAAGTAGTTGCTGGCCTCGTGGCAGATACGGACCTCAAGCTGATCTTCAACGCTCTTGTCAGCAATCCTGCTTGGCGGGCGAATGCTACAGGTGCTCTTCACTCACACTCACGAATGCCTCAGCCCATTTTTCAGTCGCATAAAAACACTGCCTCAGGTTTTGGTTCGCACGGTGGACAGACGATTGACTTAGCCAGGATCCCCCGAGAGGACGCAAGTTCAGAGTGCATGATTCTGCACAGCTGCGGGGCAGGTCAGTATGCCTGTCGGATCCTGCCGACATAGAAAACACCCTGGCGAGGTCGCTGTCGCTTGTGTAACTTCTGCGGAGGACCTGCTTGGCTGGGTCAGGGGCGGAATTGTGATGTCCCCAGCCAGAAACCTTTGCGAGTCTGCCCGCAGCGATTGAATTCCGAGGTGTGGCTGTGACGCAGGCAGCCCTGTCCTCTCTCCTCTCATGTCCGTGTGACAGAGAGAATATGTGTGCTCGATCTGCACAAAGACTGCCCCTGCTACAATACCAGACGAAACCAGGTTATCACCTTGTTTTGACGGAGTGGCAGGAGCTGCATGCGAAAATTCAATCCAAAAGTGCAGGCGAATCGTCCATTGTGTGCCTTCCGGCTAATTCGAGCAGGCTTGCTCAAACCTACGTAAATAATTCCAAATATGGTTGTTTCCTGTGGGGTCGATATGAGTGTCATGTCCCAAGAGAGAGCAAACCGTCTGCGGGGCGGTGATCGCGTCAGCATGTGCTTGACCCAAAGAGGATGCAGTAACCTGCTCGCTCTGCGATGTCATGTGATGACGGAAGGTGCAAGGCACGAGCTTCTGGCTAACTGTGGCAGATGCATGGGCCATGGGCAGAGCGAGCTCGAAGCGTGAGAATGTTCACGGAAGTTACTTTCGACAACGGGACAACGCTGCCCCTCCAAAGCAAGTCTCTGCGAGTGCATCTTCCACAGACGATCCTTGTTACAGGCAGCTTAGGCTTCTTAGTTGCAAGGGGGCGGACCTTGGCTGCACACGCCTTTGTGAATCCTGTTGGCCCGGCCGAAGCTTTCTGAAACCACCACCATCTGCGATGCCAGACTTGGGCGCTGACCCTAAGCTTGCGAAGCTAGAGGCCAGGGACATGATCACCGACCACACTTAGACTTCGGGACATTTAGAGCTTTCACCACATCACAGCAAGTGAGAGTTCAGACAAAATCAATGAGCAAGCATCAACCGGGTTTTGCCTCTGTCTTAGTGTGTCCTGGCATGACATTGCCATGAAGCTGTCTCCTGAGACGAGACTTTCTGGTAATGCAAGGTCTGTGTGTCAGTGCGGCTGAAGCTGGAGAGACAGCTGAGGTCTGCTGGACTGGCGCGATGGGAATTATCCTTGCCAAGAGGGAAGAGGCTGTAAAACCCCTCCAGGGTTGGCTTCTCCTTTATTTAGTGCTCCAACGCGAGGTGCGCGATATCGGACCCTGTCTGGACGGAAGGGCTTTAGAAGACGGCGTGGGCAAGGGGGGAGCACGATATCGGCTGTGCGGCCGGGTGCACGGGGGCGGGCGCGGACAAGGGGCGGAGATACCAAACGCGGCAAATGAAAATCGGGAAGATGTCCATTCTTGCATCACTTTCTTCTGTTGGGTTTTCGGGTTTCCGGCTTGACCTTGTGTGCCGGCACTTGCAAAGAGACTAAACCCACTTTCGTCGCAGGAGCGAATCTCTTTCAATCAGACCCGCGCACGTCGGGGCCAGAGCCGCATAGTCATTCAAGCAGGGTGCCGGTATTAGCAAGAGAAGCTTGGGGGCCTTTGGCTCGCACAGTGCAAGACTAAGAGAGAGACTGGTGCACTGGCCGCCTTCCGAGGTGCTTCAGCCTATCTGGAGAAGTGTCGGCCTGACTACATCGAGGCAGTGTCTGATTCGGCCGCAGCACTGCTTTGCATTTGCACTCTGCGCCGGTGCTCATCGCACATCGCAGGATGATGTGCTGCTGGGGTTAGCTCCTGACGACAAGGACCTTGCCAACACCTGTCTCAAGGCCGCGAGTTGCAGGCCTATCGCAAACTACTCGCCAGCCCTTGCAGCCCTGGCCCTTGACTTTAGGGCCAAGATGCGCAGGACGAAAACCAGAAGGATGATGAGGAGGAAGAGGAGAACCAGGCCGACAACCCCCTCGGTCGGTTGCAGCGCCTGCGCTGTGCTTCTCGTACTGACACGGTGACACGTCACAGGAACCCGAGGTTGAAGAGGAGGAGGAGGAGGACGAGGACAAGGAAGAGGAGGCCCCGGGACGTGGGATGGCCCGGGATGGGATGGGATCTTCTGCGCTTGGATCCTGAAAGGATGAGCGGAAGTTGATGGCAGAGGCGAGCTCCAGGCAGTCAGTGCTTGCGCTGCTCTGCTCCGCCACTGTTCTTCCAAGCCAGAGTTTTCGGCGAGCTCTTGAGACTGATGTTTGCCTTGGTGCCTTTATTGCCCAATGTGCTCGATCAAGCAGCAGCCGCATTCCACTTGTTGCCGTTGCCAGTTCCAGCGATCCAGCAGTATTGCCGTGAACTGCGACATGTACTCTTCCTCATTCCTTAGTACAGTGGCGCACAGGACCTCACACGCGAGCCCTGTGCATCCCTGTTCTTACTGTTGAAATTGAAGTTGCATCTTGTCGGCCCCGCAAAAAACAACAAAGCAGGTATTTTGCACGCTGTTATAGGTCACGGGCCGGTCATTACCATTCGAGCAAGCTTGCAAGCCTGATTTAAGCCGCTGGGGCCTTTGTCTCTGATCGCGTGTCTGCCCGCGGTTTGTTCATTTGTTGTCTTTGCACACGATTACAGTGTGTTGAGTTGTCTCGGCTTGAGAAGCACGTGCTCAAGCACAGGGCAAAGGAGCGAGTACAAGCTGAGCTGAAGAAGTTCCGACAGGCAGCTATCAAAGGCCAGTGACTCAGTGACAAATGGCACATGTGCTTGCCTTCTTCGCCCTTCACGAAATCCTTCAGTCGAGTCATTTTTCAGGCAACCGATGGGCACTGATGAAGATGACTCGTTCGCCGCATCCGCCTCAGTGTTCCGAACCTTTGTGAGCTGTGGAAGCGTCTTCTTGGGTGTGTTGCGTGTGTGTGTGTGTGTGTGTCGTGGTGGGTGGGTGGGTGGGTGTGTGTGTGTGTGTGTGTATTGCCTGTATTGTTTATCTCAGCAGAGGCACTTGGCCATCGATTCGCCTGACCAGCACGGCCGAAGACCCGAGCAGTCCGCAGAATTGCTCAGCGTGACTCTGAGACTCGAGAGGTCGGACAGCCTTGCATCTAGCAGCGGAGCATGGCCAACATCGAGCTGCCTTCTCCCAAGCCACCATTCTCGTCTCGCGCGTATATAAGAAAGCCGTCTGCAAGAGTTCATCCAGTGGACCGTCAGGTGGAGATATTGCTGGGGGCACGAGCCCGCCATGTGCAACACTTACCAGAATTTACCAGACCTAGCATCTGTATCGGATTGATTGAAACCAGTATTGAATCAGCGTTGGATGTCATCGCACTCATGCCCCAGTGTGTAGTGTGTGTGATGCCGCAGCGCAGTGCTATCATTCCGGCGTTCTAGGGCTGTGGTGTTGCCACGCTCGCTCGTTGTCTGTTTTTTTCCTACGCAGTTTGTAGAGTTGACAGGCAGCCTGTTAACTCTGGCCACTTTGCTTGCTCGCATTGCATGCATTGCAACAGCTCAGCTTCAGCTGAGGACATCAAGACAAAGATGGGTTGGACTCCGCTGCACACGTCCGCGTTCCATGGACAGGTCGTGCGATGAAACGCTTTGCATGTGCAGAGCCGCTGGTCTGTGTGCTCCAGCTTTCAGATTGCCTGCATCAACCTCTTGCTGCAGTCCACGGCCGATGTCAACTGCAAGGTCATCTCTCAGCCTTACCGTAAGCCGAGTTGGAGATATTAAATCCTGGAGGAGAAGCACGGCTGCACCCCGCTCATGTTCGCGGCGTCTTCGCCCAAGTGGGTGCCTCAGCTTGTGGAGCTGCCTCGCAGTTCGGAGGAGAGGTTTAAAAATGCTGTACTTCTACACTGACAGCTCGAATGAAGTCGTGGACGTACCACCGTTTCATGTCTTGGCACGCGGAGGAAATGCTCGGTTTCAGATGGGTTGTATCTGGGACCATGCTAGCAAGACAGGCAGTCTGAACTTGATGATCCTTGAAAGCATGTGGGAAGATGCAGAGGCTATACTTGGTGGACCTTGTGTCCAAGAAGGATCGTGCGCGACGACTCAAAGCGCGCCGGGAGTCTCAGATTTCAGTAGTATTCTCGCACTTCGTACTAAGAGAGAGAGAGCGGTGAGGCACGGATGCTGAGAAGAAGAGGCGGGAGCAAGAGGAGGCCGATCAGCCGGGCAAACATCCGAGTCGTCATTTTTCTTTGCCATTTGTATCGCTGCAGAGGACCGCTTGGACTCAGATTTGGCAAGCCTGGGGCCGTAAGTCGCGGTGGCTTTCTCGTGTGTCTCTGTCTCTGCGTTTCTCTCAGGTTTGACCAAAGAAAAGGGGGCGGGCAGCATTTCCACAACGGCACCCAATGTCGTGGCGAACTCAAGAAGTACATATTTCTTAGGTTTGAATCATGATATGCTTATGGTTGGACTTGGGCTGGAGGTGTGGAAATTCTACCAGAATCGCATAGAACTTCTCGTCTTGAACGCGTTGCTCTCGTCGCCGAAGATCAAGGCCAGAACGCTTCCATCCTTCGCGAATTTGGGGACGTGTTTTCGTCGGGATTCCAAGATCGACGCGTATGACAACAAGCGACGGACGGCTTTGCTTTATGCGGCCCGTTTCGGGCGCACATTTGCGGTAAGCCGCCTTTTGGATGCCAAAGCGAGCCTGGGATTCGCCGACAGAGCCCGGACCCTAAAACAGCGGAAGCAGATGTCGAGTGGGAGTCGCATCCTTGTGTTTTGCCTGTGTCGACGCGACTAAGGAAGGCCAAGTGCCTCTCTTTGCCGCGGCGTGCAACGAGCACTTGGACACGGTCGACCTGCTGCTCCGTGCCGGGTCGAACATCAACGCCACGGACCAGCCCTCGCCTTTGTTCGACTAGCTTGGGCTTTCTCTCGGCCATTTGCGCATTTAAGGTTTCAGTCTCCTGACGCTCCTGAGGTATTTTCGCACCCCCCTGCATGGAGCTTTGGAGGAGGGAGACGAAAGCATGGCAAACCTGCTGCTGAAAGCCGGTGCAAGCGACAGCCTCAGAAGAAAACCGCCACTCCCAGCATTCGGCAGAGCCCCTGCCGAGGTGTCAATGCCTATGACTGCGAGGGTCGAACTCCGATCATGTTGGCCATGGACAGAGGAAACAGACGCCTCTTCTCCAAGATTGTTTGTCCCTTGGGCACTTGCCTTGTTGACATGTACTCAGAGTATAGTCGTTTTGTGAGGTCGAGAAGAAATCGAACTTGGATGTGCTGGACAAGAGAGGATGGAACGTGGTGATTTACGCCATCGAGACGCAGATGTTGACAGACGCCACCACCTCGGGCTGACAGTCCATGCTGGGCTTAGCCTTTCTGCATGACTTTCCGCTAGTGCAGATGTCTGTTCTCGCAGCGCTGCATGGCTCCGACTGGAGCCGAGAACCTTCGGCTTCGGCTGTAGAATGGAAGCGAGGCTTCCAGCCTAGACTGCCTCCTCGATGCTGGGAGAGGTAGGTGACCCAACGCAAGAGTTCAAGCGTAGGAGACTACGAGACTTGGTTGTCAGTCACCGCCAGGGGTGTTATCTTCTTGCAATCACGTCATACATCCAATACAGTCTTGTCATCTTCAGCGTTCGTCAGCCCATTCACAGGCATTACATGATTGCAGTACTCCTTTTTCTTCATAGAAGAGAACCGACGACTGCACTGTGAGAGCAAAAAAACAAAGATATGTCGTTCAGTGACAGATGTCGGTGTTCGAGTCTTGCGTTCACTGCGGGTTGTTGAATTACGTTTCCTTCCCAGGTTTATCCTTTACTTATGAAGCTGAACAAGAATGCCGCGATCATCCTTCGAGCCAGAGATCCACAGGCGCAAGAACAAGTCTTCGACAATACCTCATCGTTTCTTGTGTGCGGAGCTGCGGGTGCAGGGCCTCAACGCTGTGCATCACGCAGCCCAGCTACCCAGTGCAGAGCTGTCCACGAAGTGCGTCCAGCAGTTGGCCAACCTGGATTTTGAGGCCTGGGAACTAGATTTGAAGCATGCCGTCCGTCCCCGATATTCTGGCTTGCCTTCCGAGTGCTGACTCCAAGCTTTTCTGCAACAGTCCCTGCATTCCACCTTTTCGCAATTCAGCATGCCTACGGCAAGGGCCCTGCTCGTAGTCGCGAGTACCATGCAGGATTCCATGCGAGCCTCGTTGTCGAGTTTAATGAACCACAGCATCACCAGGCTGCTAGCTTCGGCGACTGCAATGGAGACACTGCAATCCATTCAGCAGCTGAGCGTGGGCGGCTCGAGGCGGCTCAAGACTTAAGAGCAGTGCTTCAGCTACGAGAACAAGCTCGATGCGGTCAGAGTTTCGAGTCGCCGAGAGTTGTAGCTCACTTGGATTGCGGCGCAGGTCCTGCGCATCTTCATTGACCGTCTTCCATCCCTCGACTTCCTTAACAATCGGGGAGAGACACCTCTGCACTACGCTGCGTCTGGGGCCTTGGAGTTTCGGGCAGCCAAGAGCCGAGAGAGCCGAGAGAGCCGAGAGCGAATCCAAAGTGTTTTGAAGGCGTGGCGGGCACATGGCTTGCGTGGTGGCTTTGGTCCACGGGGCCTCCGGCCGCCAGGGTCCGTGCGATGCAGGAGCCATTGACTCTCAAGGCCCGTTTGATAAGGGTGCAAGAAACACTGTAATTGGCGCATTTTGGAAAAGCTGTTTGGCATGAAAGATCTGTCTAGGCACCACATCGTGCACTGCTCCGCAATCCAATTGAGTCTTTCAAGCCGAGCCGCCAGGCTCAACACCCCATACCATCGTTTCTTGCCTGTAGCCGAACGAGCTGTAACTCGGCCAGTATGCATCTTGGATGAGATCCTACGACGGGTCAACCCTCAGCCGCTTCATTAACATCCGTCATACTAGCCCAGAACAGATCAATAAACTTTGAAGCCTGATCGAACCATGCACGAACGAATAGCCCGGAGAACGTTGCCAGTCGCCGATTCCACTGCCTGTGCAGACGATAAATGCAGGGCGACGGATGTCCGGTTCAGTTCAGGTGACGCCACTGCGCGGAAAGCGACACGAATTGCTCCCACAGTTTCCCGCATTCGTGAGGAGCGACTTGAAACCACGCCCCCGAGTTCCCACCCCAGTACGTCGGCCTTACGTCCCATCCGGGGGTACGAAGAGGAAAATCACTGACGTTGAGCCTGAAGTGTCAGACCTTGTATGATGTCATGACTGCCACAGCAGGATGGAACTTGCTGATGCACGCCTGCGTTTCTGGGCACCTTGACTTGGTGAACTTGCTTCTGCAGAACAGGGAGGTCCGGCGGGCCTTGCTGGAGCCGCGAGTCCCATGTTGCCGCGATCCGCGAAGTCAGGGCCAACACCCCGACTTGGCTTTCCCGCCGCTGGACGTCAACCACGAAGATCGCGCAGGGCGGAGGGCTGAGGGAGTTTAGCCAGTGCACAGCTGCCACGAAGTCTTACGACGCCGGCTGTTCAGGGTAAATGCTCTCTGCGTGGCTGCACGGGAAGGGTGTACCTGTCGCAACTTGCAGTGATGGGTATGTTGCGAGTTGCGTCAGCTTCGCCTGAGTCTAGAGTCTACATCTCACCTTGGGATGCTGTGCCAGACACTGGCAGCTGTTGCCTTCGCTGGTCCTAGCCGGGTCGAACACGGCGGGGAAGGCCTGCCCCTAGGGCACAGCATCAGCGAGGTGTTGGCTGTGTGCAGACCCTGTGCTTTTCAGGACCGCGACGGCTTCACAGCAGTGCACTGGGCTGCCATGGAGGACGAAGCTCTTACCATGCCCGGCACCTGGATTTTCGAGTGCAATCGAATAGCTGCCCGAGAGACGGACTCCAGATCTGAGGAAGTGTTTGCTCGACCTTGGGTTCGATGCAAACGCAAAGGACTTCAAGGTGGGCATCTGACTGCTGATTGGCTCTTACTCTTCTCTGCTTAACCCTCTCGCAATCGCAGCTCTCGAAGGGCTGGACACCTCTGATGCATGCCTGTGCACGTGGAGCAGACGTGAAGCTGGCATGCTTGTGGAAAGCTGCCATGGCTTAGGGATTCTGTCCTGGAAGATCCTGCAGCAGTAAGAGTGCAGCTTCGACGCAATCCGACGAAGGAAGTTGTCCGTGTCCTGGTGGACTTCTCGGCCGAGATTGATGCCCGCAATTGGGACCAGTGGCTGGCTTTGTGTGCGGGTTGTCTGCGGGCGGTTCGTTGTTTGATTCCGCAGGATGGCGACACTGCTTTGCAAATCACCCAAAGACGTCGAGATCCCCCCGATGTGGTCGCGGTGACGAAGGCCTGACGTGACTTGCTTGCCTCATCTTGCAGCATTTTGCTTCGGCGGCAGAGTGGCGAGAGGATATCCTGCTCGATGGCATCATGGGAGGCGATGAGCCAGCCTGCACCCCGATCTCGAAGCCGTTCCGGACCCTGATATAGAACTTGCCATTGCAGTATATTGCAGTGAGGCCAAAGGAGGCTCCGTCGAGGCCAATGGCCACATGATGGTTTCTGTCCTCGAGGTAGGAGGCTGCCACATGTGTCCACAAGCCCCACTGTCAGTACCTGCACTAGGCTACTGACCTCTATCTTGAGGGCAAGACCGGCTTCGTGCCAGCCTTAACGAAGTTGACCTCGGACACTATGGACACAGCACTCCGGGATGGGTCAATCGAGGTGAACGCCTACGTGAACCTTCAGCTACGCACACAAACGGGTGCCAGGCCCCAGGCGAGCCGCATCGGCGAAGAGCTGATTTGCCCCATGGCACCATGCGGCGCATGTGCAGGCCGCATTTACATCGTGCGTCTTGCAGAACTCATCGCCGGAGTGGTGGCACGGCACAAGAAGATACACGATTTTGTCGTCACCATCATCGAATGCACTTAAATGAGATTGCTCTTGTTGAGTGCCTGCTTGTGTTTCCTTCCACAAGTCTCTGGCAGATCATTTGACGGTTTCATCAACACCGCTGCAAGAGGTATCAAACAAAAGCAGGGCCGGTGGAAGGAACTTCGCTTTGTTGTTGAGATGCGCGCTGAGGCATGAGGTTTTTCGCTTCGACACTGTCCGGGTGGATCCGAGCGCCGTACTTGTGGCCTGGGTGGCTTGAGTCTTGGCATGTTCTCTTGGCTTTCCTGAGTGGCCTCAGACCATGGTTAGGTCGCAGCCCCCGGGGAGAACACCAAAGAGGTCATGGACGGAGCCGCGCTCGGCTTGGACGAGGAGCCCTCTGAGAGTCTTCTAGGTCATGTCCAGTCTTGGCCTTGGCCAGGTAGAGCTCCAAAATCTCTCGCACATGGAAGCCGTGACAGGGAAGTCTCGGCCTTGGCGTTAAGATGCAAGCAGGCTGCAAGACGGAAGAAAAAAATCAAAAACCATTGATGCGAAGGACGCTGCACCAGGAACAGCCGCAGTTCACTTCGGCGCTTCAGGAGGGCAGGGGATGCAGGAAAGGAAGGTTAAAACGACCGAGGGACTTGCATACGATATGCACAGGAATCCTTCCAGCGCCTCATGAAGCGGTCTGACAGGGAGGAGGATGCAGAGGCAGCTACAGCTGACACGACTCGACTCACATTGCAATCGAGCCCCGCTTATCGGAGGTCTTGCGACTCCGCAAGCTTGCGATGGCTCAGCTCACTGGAACCGAGCAGAGAGCTTAAGGGACCCACAAAAGTCTTCTAAGTAGGCTCCGCTGCTGCATCTCAGCTGTAAGGCCAACCGAAGACCTGAAGTTCTCACAAACGCAAGTCAAGGCCGGCGTGGTGGACCGGTGGATCTTCCGCAGTGGACTTCGAGTTCTTTGTGTCGTGTAGTCACGCTGACAGGGGGAGGATGGCCTCGCTCTGACTGAGAGACGCTGGAACGAGGTTTCCAACTTGCGCGAGGCGGGGCCTGGACAGAACTTACAGAACTTGCAGCAAGCCATGAACGAAGGGCTCGACCCGTTCGATCAGAATCTTTGTTATGGCCGTTACCTGTGGCTCCTGTTGCCGCCTAAATTTCGGGGAAGCAGGAATTGCCGGGGAAATGTGGGGAAGCATGATTCAGGGTTTAGCACCTATGCAGTGACATGGCTTTGGCTCTGATGCTGAATGATGCTTGACACACTTGTAACTGCAATTCTCAACGACATGCGCCTGACTTTGTGATTTTCTGCTGCCTCGAAGTCGCCTCCGCTCAAACTCGAACGAATTACAATCGGCCAGCCTGTATCAGAGATGAACTCGCTAGACATTGAGGGTTTGGGTGTCCATGAAGAGCATTGAAGCATAAACCGTGGTCCTAGCTGGCCTGTTCCGCTGCATCAAATTCTGATGCCATGTTCAGAAGTGCACGTTGGATCGTGCGCAATGAATGCATGGCAAGCTTGGGGCAAACCCGACGGGAAAGCCTGGATGGCTTTCCTATGAAATCTTCTTGCATCTGAACGCTAAAAACTAAGGGGTTAAGAACCCACTGACAGTGCGGGATGTCGGCTTGGTCGAACATCCAGAACACCGTGTGGCAAATCATGTGCTGCTTCGGCAGGATAATGAATCTTTGAAGGCCCACGTTGAAACACATGCGAGCCAGCAACATGTGCCCTTGCAGAAAGGCGTAGCCCATTTCGGCCACAGCTCTGGCCGTGGTCTTGCGAATCCAGACGCCTTTCTTGTAGAGGGTGCCCATGAATCTGTTGCCCATTTCGAGCGTGGGAACCTTAATGGTAGAGTCGCTGCTTATTTTTATGATGCTCATGCATGCAGATAAACATCCCCCAAACATATCGATACAACATGTTCGAATTATCAAACAGCACGAAATGAAGGTTATCGGACTACCTACCTGGTTTAAATTCGGTTTATGGGAGGATCGATGGGCTGGGTGAGCAAGGCAAGGGGCAATGACAGGCAGGAGCACGTTGACGGACTCTTTCATCTCCGGGTCTCGGGCAAGGAAATCTTGCATCCAGGTCATCAAACAGGTTGTCACTGCTCCTTTGTGCCAGGAGCCTTGCGGCATCGCCGCAGTTGAGTCCCAAGCCAGCAGATCCTGCGTGATGGCGGAGATGCTGCAGTAGATCTTCTTTCTTTTGCAGTAGGCACGGAAATCAGCTGTGAGCTTCGTGAGCTTGTATGGAATGGAAGGCCCGTTCATTGTGGTGACAACCACAACAATCACGGAGGAAATAAAGGATTTTCCACATCCCAAGTGCCAACAATGCCACAAGTCTTCAACAAAAAAGCTAGTGGGGTCGGTGGCATCATGCGGTATGGCCAGCAATGGCGAGGGAACCGTCCATCCGGGGTTGCGGCCAACTGTCTGTCGCCAGGTGGCGTCAAGTGTACAATCTTCGAACGGGCATGGGAATGGAAGGTCCTCTCGTCCTGCGTCGCATTTCCAACAGACGCCTGCGCAGGGCTTTTTGCTGGAACTTTGCTTCGGGCCTCGCCCGAATGAGCGGTCCATGTGACCTGTCTTGGCCAAATACGGTAGGTCGCCTTTGATTCCTATGCACCAAAAGAACAAGTGGCCATCGTTCGTCGTAGTAACTCCGTCCTCGCTCAGGCTGCGGATGTCCTCGCTGTAGATGGCCAGCATCCGATCCAAAACATCTGGAGCCTGTTTGTAGAGCCCATGTGGCATGGCTGCGAAGATGTAGTGGCTCAGGATCGTGGCGCCCACGAAATTCATCCTCATTTCGTCCTGAGCAGGTGGAACACCTGTGGGGGGATGGTGGTGATGGGTCCCCTTGCCAAGGACCCCGTGCGTGCTCAGCACCATGATCGCCAAGCGGCGATACGTCCTGCCTTCATCCCCATGATGCAATATTGGCACGCAGCGTGACAAATCCTGCCCGCTCGCGAAAATGGGATGATTTGGGTGGCCTAGCCGCCACCTCGCCCAGAACTCTTTGCAAAGTGCGTGTCGTTGCAGAGGATCTTTCACCCCAGTTAGGAAGTGCAAGCGCGAGGCCGAGGATAAATACAGTATCCAGTCAGACAGTTTTATGTAAGGTATCTTCGGGCATTTTTCGAAGTCGGCGTAGGAAATCTTCACAGGCAGGCTAAGGCCCTGCTTCGCAAAAACTCGGTGCACTCCCTCCTCCGTGTGGCCCAAGCTCAGCCTTGCCAGGGCCTTGACTCCGGGGTCCTTTGAGCTTGAAGACTTCGCGTGGAGCACGACTTCCTTGCATGTGACCTGGGCGCACGGGTGGAATGAATCTCACAGAGGACATAGAATGCTCGTGATGCGTGCACTTTCACCAATGCTCCTGATGGTAGGATAGTATAGCAGTCACTGGCATGCAGTTGCAAGTCACACGATTGTTTTCGCCCCTGGAAACTTGAACGGAACGGAGGAGTATCTGAATGCTCCGGCCGCACATATAGCCAATCGAACACACATAAAACTCGAGCAGCCCAAGGGTGCAGTAGAAAATTAGTTCCTTCGGACAATGTAGAAAACAAGCATTTAAGATGTCTAGGCCTTTAGGGTTTTTATGTGTACATATAGACATTATGATTTGTATATAAAAATACAGCAGGTATAGTCAGGAACTATCCACCGATTCTTTTGGCTTGGTCTGCTCGAGCTCCCACTGTGTAAACATAGTAGTGGCTAGCCTGTACATGGCCAGGTCCTTCCCCACCTGGCTTGTCATTCCTGCAGCCTGTGACTGCTCTGAAGTGATCGATCAATGCAGCCTCAAGCATTTCAGCGACACCTTTGGTGTCTGTCACATGAAGAAGCTCCATCGCTGAGAAGTTCGCAACCGCATATGATTGGAAACGGATAAGTGGGTTGCTGGTGTATCCGATTTTGAAAACACAAAGCCCAGTACCAATCGAATGCAGGAACCTGTTGATTCTTTGCTTGCAGTGCTGAAGCACAGTCCCAGCGGTAGGCCGTGTTGTTCTCATGGTAAGGTAGCTGGCGGTAATACCATGTAGACAAGAAACAATGTACTCCTTTTGCTCTAGTGTTTGAGCTTGCAGGAAGTCAGCTGCCAGCTCGGCCCAGTTGCTGTCATCACGAACTGAAACCTCAGATACAACAGCAAACATGGCAAGGCTGCGGCGAACATGGAAAGTAAACATGAACACGTCCAGGGAGTCAGGTTTGGGGGTTCTACCGTGGGCATCCTGCGGTCTGGCATCTTTGGCATCGTCACTCGCAGCGTGCAGCTCCGGGCTGCTCGGGCTGCAAGTTGAGATAGAAGAGGCAGCATCATCTAGCGGAGCGATCGCATTTGACCTTAGATACAAAGCTGAATCTCACATTGCGGAGGGCGGAAAAACAATCATGGATACCTTCTTGTCTCATTGTTAAATGCGAGAATTCAGACACTTTCGCAGTCTTGGAAGCTGGAGCTCCAGTGAGTGAACCATGAGCTCGGGGAGGGCATCGCTTTTTGCCAGTGATCTTGCATTCATATGTGATCAAGTCCACGAGATCTTCCAAAGCAGAGTCATCGCTGTACTCTGCACTGGCATTCATGCCGGCAGCTTTGAGCAAAGCTGCGACTTCACAACACACAGGACAAGTTCGTTTGCGATCAAGCGAATGTTTCGAACAGCTGAAGCAAACGATTCAGCTGACATCTGAGGTCGCGGCGCCCTTGCCTACTTGCCGGACGAAGGATTTCATCTCTGCATTGCAGCCTGGCTGCTCAGAAGCACGAACCCAAAGCTTGGATATATCTGCGTGTTATGCGCTTGCGTACTCTGTAATGAATGCATGATTGTCTTTTCACCGGCGAGTCACAGCTTGCACGACCCTATAAATCCCGCTGCCTCTTTCTGGGCAGCAGGTTGAAGCATGTCGACTGAAAGCTGCCACAACCCCTGTGGCGTGCACCAGTGCACATCTAGGTTCATCGGAATTACGGAAGCAGCTTATCCTACAAATATTCCCGTCGCGTTGGCCAAGCAACACGACACATGGCATCCCCGGCACACAGCACGTGATTCCCACGACCACGGACAGTGCGTGAGCATAGTCGAGGAAGTTGGTGGCAGCAGCATCGCAGGTTTGCAGTCAAATAATTATAAGCTTCGGTTGTCTTCGAAACACGTGCTGTGTACACTTGTACCCGGAGAAAAGCCCTTCGCATCCATGGGAGTTCACTGATCCTGCTGCTCAGCCTTAGGAGCATTCTTGCGGCCGTTCTTCTCCACAGACCTGAGGCGTGTGAAAGGTTTTGGTTTCGACATATTCTGGGTTTAGATGAACTGGCTTCGCACAGATCTCAGATCTTGTATATACATCTATAGAGACCTCAGAGACCCATACACCGGCTCAAACCTAGGGCTTATAAAACAAAATACATAGCAGAACATACCTCAGGATGGGTTTTAACTTATACATAAGCTTGGAGGTGTAGCAAGCTGTACATGGCACGTTGGGTTGAGGATTTCCAAATCTTAGAAAAGCCCTAATGTAAAGGAGGCTCTTGGGTTAAGGAGCTTGTAATTGGTGTCCAGGGGACGTAGCCCTAGAGTAGATATAGAGAAGTGGATGGATGGACTAGACCAACAGATACATGGTCATATTATGTTGCTATACATATATGTACATATAAACATATATAAACATTCATACATGACTGGGCAAATGGGAAGAAAGGTAGGGTTCTAGATACATAGGTAGGATCCGAAGGGTGTATATATCTGTATAAAGGTACAGGGATAGAGAGAGGGATCTATATGCATGTATATTAAACCACAGTAGTTTAAGAGACATACGTCTTGCACAAAGAGGAATAGATGGAGACTGAAGCTTAACAATATAGTCACAAAAACATTCTTACATATTTCAAAACCAAATTTAGAAATACAGTGGCAGGCATAGAGGCATATATACACACATAAAACCAGTTGACAACAAGACCTCTTGTTTCAGGGTTCGAACTTTGGAGTTTAGGGCTCTGAAGTATTCTCTCTCTTTATATATATATACAGATAAATAAATATGTATATATATATGTACATATATATGAGTACGTGCGTATTCACTATATGCATCTTTCTCTCTCTCTCTCTATATATATATATATAGGAATATGTATTTCTATATATAAGGTATGCTAAGAAACTCAAGTTACAGATGCTTGGTTTTGGCGTTCCGGAAGGACCTGGTGGTTTGAGGCGTCCAGGGCATATATATATATACATATATATATATATATATATTGAATACTCCAAAAGAATAAAAGTGTTGGGGCAGGTTTCGGGTTCGTGCTTGCTTGATGTGAGCTTTGTGAATTATTCTGATATAAGCATGTACGAGGCGAGCTCCTGTATTCCTCCACTGCTGAAGGCTTCATAGGAGTTCGGGTTGCGGGGTATTTACACGGGCAGTACATTACAATGATGCTGAGCTGAGCCCCCAAGCCATAAGCCCTTCAAGCCCCAGCTTTCAAACCCCAAACTCCTAAAGCCCTATGCCCAAAAGCCCCAACACCCTAAGCTCTTCAAGCCCCGGCTTTCACACCCCAGACTCCTAAAGCCCCAAGCCCAAAAGCCCCAACACCCTAAGCTCTTGGAGCCCCGGCTTTCACACCCCAGACTCCTAAAGCCCTAAGCCCAAAAGCCCCAACACCCTATCTCTTGCAGCCCCGGCTTTCACACCCCAAACTCCTAAAGCCCTAAGCCCAAAAGCCTCAACACCCTAAGCCCCAGCATCCCGGGAGAAGGCCCACTGTTTCTGGGGTCATCGCTTCGCTTGGTTCTCTGCAGCCAGCATTCTGCTGCACCTCAGGAGTCTATAGAGGCTATATTTATATGTGTATTTTTTATAGGACCGAGATTTCCATCAGACTGTTTCTGCCTTCTCTTAGAACTCATCTTAGCTAGAAGTACAGCATAGATCGATGGACTGGGGTAGGCACACCAAACTTGTCTCGCGCCAGGCAGCATCAATACTCTTCTGGATCCTCGGCTTCTTTGTTTTGACGAGAGGATCGAGAGAGTGAGTTACGAAGTTCTCAGGAGGGTTGCAATCGTCAAAGGAGAAACACACGTCGTATATACAAGACATGCTACATGTTAAAGTGTAAAGACGGAGAGAAATAATCGAGAGACAGACTGACAGCGGGAGCGATAGATGAACGTTGTGTCATCGTCGATGCTAGCACTATATGTTTAGCAAGCGGATGCACATAGTGTGTGCAAGGGGCTCAGGGGTGATCTCGGTCGTCTCCAGCATGGCCTTCAGGTCCGCTAGCTTTTCGTAGCCTGCATTAAGTTCCTCGATGCGCTTCTCCAAGAGTGCGGTGGTCCTTGGAGCAATCTTTCTCGGAGGGTTTCAGGGTTGCTGCAAGTCTTTTGTGGTTTTGTTGATCTAGATATGGAACGACTACGGTAGCGACGGCTCAAGATGAGTATTTCATTTTGAAATAATTAGCATTGGGTTTGGCTTAGATGGGTATTTCATGGCTTGGAGCACATGGGCTTCCAATGCAGGGGGTCTTGATAAGCCTTAGTGGCCTGGGGTGGCCGGAGAGCCAATACTTCAGCCGGTCGATATAGGAACTGGTGTTCGTAAATCGGTTGAGGGTTTAGGGTTAGAAAGCTGTACAGAAGCACACATCCCGAGCCTCCAAGAAACCCGGATCCAATACGGAACTGTGAGCCCCTGTATTTGATTACGTGTGTATATATCTCTATACAGCTTATGTAGACTTTAAAAAAGAATACCTATATATTTGCAGCTGTATATGTATATATCTATCTATATGTATCGATCGATCTATCTCGAAATATATTTCTTTCTACATATATTTATGGATTTACTGTATGTCTATGAAGACCCGGTAAATCTGGTGTCTAAAGATGTGTATATGTGTATATATATATATGTACACATTATATATATATATATATGTCGTGTGTAGCCCCCTTTAAAGACAAACCAGCAAGACACAGCAGAATCAACAGCGGCACCGTTGCGTCTGAATTCCATCCCAGTAGCAGTGTCTATTTAGCGATTTGTAACAGGTTTCTACTCAAGGGATCAATAAATTTACACGAGTGCCGTACAGCTCGGCTCTGACGGTGTGATGAAGTGTCTCTGTTCCAGACAGTTCTCCCTTAAGCGCTAATCTACATTCCCAGGAAGAGTCGAAACCTCGGAAACCCGCCAAACTCATCTTAGGTGATGATATACCGACGAGCAGCGTCTTGACCCTGCATTGGTCATTTCGGGGATCCGCGAAGGGAGCAATTTTGCCAATCAGGTCGTGGGCTTTGCCGATCTTGGTCAGGGCTGTCTCGCAGAATTTCTCGAGGTTCTGCATCTCCTGGATTTACATTGTCATCAGGTTACTTATGTGTATATAGAGGCTCATATGTCATACGGTTCATATTAGGGTTGGGTTATGGGTCTTTAGCTATCATTCCACATATATAGGCATGCATGCCTATATATGCATGAACCACGGGGAGGTTCATGCAATCCAGCTACAGGTCAGTGTCTCAGCAGAATAGGTAGTTCATCCACGATCATGTACATAGCTACAAAAGCAATTGTGGTCGTCATGATACGAAACAACGACCAAGTGTCCTGGTTGGGTGCTGTCAGTTGCTCCGCCTTCTTCTCTCCGTCTTCAGCGTCGCTGTCCAGAGACCACTTGCCGGATAGCTTGGGGCCGTCGGCAGCCTGAGGAGTCAGAACAGAAGCAAAGCATATTGGAAGGACTTGATAGTTTGCACATGCAACAATCGGTAATCGAGAAACTTCCTCCTTGGACTCGTGGGTCTCTCTCTCCGTATCGCGATTCACGAGGTGGCCGAGCTCCTCGTACTCCACGTGGAACTTTTCAATCTTGCTGTCATACTTGTCCGCCCTTGGTTACAAGGGTTGTTGCAAACACCGATTAGGTACATCTCCAATGCAGCTGTGGTTGTGCATGTAAACACACATACATACTTGCATACATACATGCATGCATATATGCTCATACACTCATGCATACATATAAATGTTTTCGTGTATCTGTGTGTGTGCATGTATATATACAAAGCTGTGCACATGCGTGTGCGAAGACATACATCCACACATATATGGTTGCATGCAACAAACATACATTCCTACATACATACATATACATATATATATATATATGCATGCATGTCATGCATGCATATGTCTATGTACATATGTATTCAAATTCGAATTTCATATGTATATGTATACGTGTATCATCATGTATGCATGTATCCATATCAGTGCATATAGAGGTATGTATGTATATGTAGATATTTGTTCAAGAATGAATGTGCATTTATGTGTCTGTCTTTATGTGTTTACATACATATTATGCATGAAACATGTATGGGCTAGGAACCTGTACATATATATATATATAGCATGTATTGTGTATCTATATCTACAGACGAAGGTTTTCTACCAGTGAGTGATCTATGTATGTGCATCTGTATATATATATATATATATATACATATAGGTGTGGGTATAGCTGATTGTATATGTACAAC